GCCCGCCGGATCGTGCTGCGCGGCGTCGGCGGCCGGCGGCTTGACGACCTGGAAGCCGTAGTTGTTGCGCACGACAGGCTTGTCGACGGGGAGCCGCCGGAAGAAGCGGCCCATGCTGAGGTCTAATTTGCTCTCGACTGAGCGCAGTTCCCAGTCAGTGTAATTAGGCATTGGGTGCAATGAGCGTTTTCTCACATTGAGGCACTTTCCCAGTTGTGTGGATCTCGTCGAGGGGCATCCCGATTTTATCTGAAAGTCTCCAGAAGCCTGGGGGACAATTAAACGATGACCCTATAATTCTGGTAAGGGAAGAATACCCATACCTGGTATGCAGATCGCTCCGGCTTGTAAATAATATCGCCCGTCCGTGCCTGAAGCAATAGCCATGTCGGTGCCTGAGCCCTCAGGGAATAAATGTACATGCCTTCGATCATAATTGCAAAGTCTTCTTGCACCCTGAAAATGTGATGAGCATTCAATTCGTTCGGTGAACAGGATTCGACTGACAATAACGACGCGACTTTTAATGGCTCCTCCTTATCTAAATCATACGTTACTTGCAGCGGTATAACTGTTATAGTCTTGATTTGGCCTTCGCCATACCAGCCCGATATACCCTTCTCGCTCTTGACCTTCCTCACAACAGCATAAATTGCGGGGTACCGTCTTGATAGGTATTCTGCCAGCTCGTGTACAAACTCTTCTGCTGGAGATGTTTATCCGTGATCATCGAATAAATCAGCACTAACACCAGAAATACCTGCTGCATGGCCGCCAGCAACAACACCAGGTTTAGCGGGCAGCACCTGGACGGCACGCTCGCCGCGAGTCTCTAGTCGATGTTGAACGATCTTGTGGTAGTCAAAGAACTGTTGGTCCAACTATCCGAGGTGTAAGAGGAAATCTTGAGCAAATCAGGTGAATTGACTACACCTCTATCCACTCGTCCCATGCCATATTCCTGATTCCCATCGTTACACTGCGCACCATGAAGCCATCTGCACACTAGAATTTATATGTTCAGAAGCTCACTGGTAGGTTCCCCAACGGAATGGCCGGTAAGGAATGGGCTTGACGGTGCTAATATCATCCGTGAAGGGCTCGACGGGGGGATAGTCGAAATCGACCGGTGTCCACTCTGAGCACGACATGACACACAAACGAACCATATCCACTGTATTTCTACGTGCTTACCTCCAGGTTCTCGCTCCTGCTTCGAGCCAGTGGTGGTGGATGTCTTGCGATCAGAGCGATCGACCGGTGCGCGCGACGAACGGGCCGATCTGGCACGGAGGGCGAGAGCGAGCACAGCACAAACTACGCAAGCAATCACAAGGCCCAGCTCCGAGAAATTAAGTCTGACCGAGAACGACATGGCTGCGGCGCCGAGTCGCAACGCGAGGGAGAGAGATCACAGCACTCCAGTCTCGAGCTCCAGTCCGCGAGGCGAGCGCGTGGCCCTGCAGACGCGATATGCAAATACGCTTTATCTAAACATCTCCTGTAAATCCATTTGAATGTGCCCCGTGTCTGGAACAAGTCTGATAAGAACTGACGTCGGTGTATAGACTGCGGCACTTATCAGGGGCTCGCGGAAATTCGAAACGACGAATATCAAACACCTGGCGCCTGTTGTGCCACAAAGCTACTAGTAGGCAAGCGCTTTTACCCAACTCCTCCCGGAGAACCACGCAAGTAAAGACGACGAGCGAATGAACGAGCGACAGGTGTGGACCGGTGTCAAGTCGGGAAGATTTACGAGGTCGCTGTGAATTGTACACGCCTGTCATGGAGAAGAACTTGACCACATCGCGCTCACCGTTTTGGCTCTTGGACTCTCATGCGCCCCGGCGCTGAGACTCCCGCCAAACCATCCCAAAATCACCATGCCTCCAAACGGTTGTAATCTGGTATGCATGGGCGACAATCGCCGACAAATACCGTTCCAAAATTGACATGTTCAAACCTACTTCGCACACACCAGCTTGTTAGAGTGAAATCGGAGAACTAGTACATTTTAATCTACAACCAGCGACAGCAGATCAGGACACAACCCCATTTCCTCAAGAGCAGGGCGGAGCAATTATGTGCGGCAGAATACAGGCCAAAGAACGTGTCGTGTCAATAATCTAACGATACGGAGGAGAAAGCAGGTGCAGAGTAGGGAGAGGAACCGATATAAATACGGATATGGCGTGTAGATGTTGAATCAAGTCCTTCACAGACACGATGTAAATTGTAGATGAAATCAACCGAGCACGTCTGAAGATGGGGTGAGTATGTTAAAATTTGTGTGTCAGAGAGCAGTACAAGGGTCCGAATGTGCCGGAACGCGGGGCGCGATAAATGTCGGACAGTTGGCGCGGGGTAAGACGCTGCGGGGCCATCGGCACGGATGGCAGCCATCAGGTCGTCGTCGCCCCATGAAATAGTTTTCGATGAAACCTGAGATGCAAAGATGTGCCTAGGGGGGCGCAGTAGCTTTGTTGGTTACCCGGGGCCTTCAGCAAGTGAATGCGGCGGGAGAGGGCGAGAACATATGGTGCGGGTCAACTTCGGGGTGGCTGTAAGTATGGCCGTACGCGGACTGGAGCTGCTGCGCGAGGAGGAACGGTGAATGCGCCGATGGGTGGCCAGCCTGGGCAAAGAATGAAGTCGGGGGATTCTGGGCCGCTTGCACTTGGGCCGCATAGAACGGGTCAGTGGAGGCAAACAAGGACGTGTTCGATGGTGTCAATTCGGATGGAGGGTACTCGTATGAAGGAGAGAGGTGCTGTATGCTGGACCTTCGGGAAACCACACATGAATAACCGCGCGTTGGAGATGACGATGGCGGGTATTGGTCCTGAAAATGAGAGGCCGAAGGGAAGAGAAGTTCCTCGACCATTCGCTCATCTTCGTCCATTTCGTCAAGGTCGGAAATCCTTTCATCCGCTACCCTCTTTTGAGTGGCACCCGCCACACTGGAACTTCGACTCCGAGAGAACTCAACGGTCTCCCAGACGAAATTCGAAGACGGTGTACGAGCAAGAGGCGTATTGTGGCCTCGACGCAATGCGGGATGTGCACTCGCAGGGGGTTGGGACAGCAAAGCCTGTGCAAGCTGCGCCTACGCGTCGCAGACTGTCAGGAGAGCGACTCCGGGGCTCGGAGCGGGAGGACATACATGTAGGTTAGCGATGTCCATGGCCTCCTGGCCGATGTGGTTGGAGTTGAGGGAAGCGATGAGGTCGTCGACGGAGATGCTCATGTTGAAAGAAGGCGAGGGGAGATGGGCAGGGAGCAAGACGCGACCCCGCTCGTGCGGTGCTGAAATGGATCGGGCTGCAGCTGGACTCCCTCATTGGGGTCGACCACGGCGATGTCCGGTCCGGCCTCGGCACCGCCCTACATCGGCCCGGAAAAGGCAACGTTGTCCCGGAGGGTGCCGGCGGCTACGGCTACGCGCCCGTACTCCAGCTGTGCGCTGCGCTCTGCCTCTCCCGTCATCCAGGCTTCATCTCCGTGTAGGTTCCTTCGTCAAATGCAATGAAACCGCAACGGACGAGTCTCGGCAGTGTCTGGCTTGCGAGCTCGATGTGCCCGACGACGACGGCGTCGTTTCACACTCACGCCGTCGGGGTGTTCCGCATGGTCAGGTTCCACGCACTGCCGGTGACGCTTTAGTCCGAGGTTCCTTAGCTCGGCCGGGCCTCCTTGCACGATGCCCGCAAGCAGCCTCATTTAGAAGGGGACCTGGGTCAGGTACTCTCCCAACCTTAATGCTACAGAACACGAAGGTTCGTGGAGAAGCACCAGCCTCAGGACATATCGCACGACATGCGGCGAATAAACTTGGGGGTCCTCGAATCGGTAACAGCCTGTGCGCATTATCCCGCGCAAATCAGCGTCTTATTCACTCCGCCTTGGAACATGCGTTCGCCTCGTTCTCGCTCTCCCGAAGTAAATAATATTAAGCAGCCCGGAGCTGTTGTTGTGCTACAACTGTTCATACATTAGTATTATCCCTCGCACTACGGACCGCATGTATTTACGCAGGGTTGATGTTTCGAAGGCGCTCAGGATGTCCGACATCCGGGTGGTCATCTGCCCAATATACGACATCTCGCAGTATCCTATGACATGGATACCTCAAGAGAGACATACGTTAGACCAGTGTAGTATAGATACAGATAGGCCAATCTAGCCTCTCACACGCTTCTCGAGCCTCGCGACTACCCTCCCCAACCCTCCCCCAGCGTGTATTTTTATTACCGAATCAGTAGTGGTACTCCTCAACTTCTGGACGTGCCTCGATCTACTATGCTATCTGTGCCGCAGGTGGGACAAGCCTGCTATCATACTAGCACACGCAGAGCACTTGGCAATCCCTTAACGGGTGCGTCGTGCGCGGAGTTCCTGTAGGGTTGTGGGTTGACAACCATGTTGATAACAGGTATTCAATCTCGAGCTTCGCCCATTGGCTGCCCGGCGAAATCATGCAGTCTCCAGACGTACGAGCGGTCCGAACATTTGTTCATCCATCTCCAATAACCGCGCGTACTCCACCTAGCCGTACACCTGTATATCAGATTTCGTAGATATCCGAACGGTCAACGGAACACCCGCACCTGGGCCATGGAGGGGCATGCCTTCAAGAGGCTACTGGCGATGCCTTTTAGTGCATCTTTCAATTGAAGTGTTTCTATAAAGTGGTGATCCATGCGATGAAGACACCGGACCACAGTGGCTGAAACACATACCCTTGTCACTAGTGCCAACATCAATCAACGACACCCAACACTTGAGGACACCTTCCAGGATAACGCCTTTCCACTTATGCATCCGAGGCGCACATTCTCTGATTACTACGGCGAGCGCTCTCAGAGAACTGAATTGGAGCTGCTTAGTAGCCACATTCTCGGGGGCCGGTGTTAGTGGGTAGATGAGTTGCGGAACAATCCCCTGCCAGTGGCGAGTAAGCCGGACAGTACAGATTGGGAGCAGCGACGATCAATGTCTGGGAGAAAGATTCTCAACCAGGAGGACTCGGCTGATTCGCACCTTCAGATATCGTACAGACCCGATTCCCAATGCCTGTACGGCCATGGGGAGAACATCGACCGACGCTTCAATCGCATCGGCGTCACGAGCAGCATAGATCCAGACGCCTCCTATGATACCGTCGCCGAGAATCCCGCAAAGTTGATTGAATCGCTCCTCCGATCCGGGTGGCGTAGTCCGCAGTGTCAGGGAGACAAAAGTACAAACGGCTGCCCGAATCAGGCTGGGTGTTTCTGGACTGTGGAGAAATGTAAGACACGTTTTAAGAGACTGACGACGGTTTCTATGAGTCCGGAGTCGGAGGGAGGAAAGCGCGTGACCTACGGACGAGAGCAATCTATCAACACCAGTACGGCAGAGGAGATCCGCGGGCACTTCCTGGAGCATCTCCGTGACCAGTCGAATGCCGTGCATCTTCTGTGGGGCTTCATAGTCGTCTAACATCGTCATCACGGGGGGTATAATCAAATGCCACAGCTTTTCATATACGATGCTCTTCAACGAAGTGGATCAAAATGCGCTGATGGTAACACCTCGTGGTCGAACTTACGCTGCTATGACGGAGGCACCAAGAGAGCGTGTTGACTATTCCCGTATGCAGTTTCCATGTCTGTCCCTCAAGATGATCTAGGTGCGCGAGAGGTCCGCCTGCAGCCCGAGACAACTTCCGACCAGTGGACGGGTTCAGGGAGGGATGAGGGTTGGCATGAAAGACAGGCTTGACGTGTCTAGACAAAATTTCCTGAAGAAGAGACACTTCTGGCGCGCTGTACAACTGTAGTATCCCTAGGCCGAAATAGAATTAGCATTGTAAGAATATTGGCAAGAGCGCACACCTTTTGCATCCCTTCCTGCATCCTCTGATATCCAAGGTCCTTCTCCATCAAAGTGAGCTACTGAGAAGACGACTTGCGCCTGCACCGATAGCGCGAGGTGGGGCTGGGGCCGGACACGAAGGTCAGCAAGCACTGCAGTGGCTCGCCTTTTCCACTCTTCCAAACGAGCAAGAGTGTCCGCATCTGTTAAGGCACTATACTGGGCAAACTCCAGAGCAATTTCCAGTTGCCTGAGAGTAGATTGCAATCTGTCTGAATCAGCCATCCTGTCGAAATTCGCAGTGCGAGTGCATTGTGATCGCGGACAACGGCAGAGAGCGGCAGAGGCGCCGCAAGCACGTCCCAATTTCAAAGCGCACAGTGCATTAGGCGCTCGCGCACCTCCGACTCATTCGTATTCGAGTCCTGGCTTTGCAAAAAAAATCACTACAAATAGTCGCCGATATCCTACTGACAATGAACGGTTCATTGACTCTTACTACACTAGGAGGTCAGTGTGAAAAATGCATAGAATTTTATTGATCTTGACCACCTGCATAGATCCCTTCAACATAACGTACCCAACTGCCATTCAAACCTCACTAGATTCAGGTGCATCTTTTGCAAAATTTGACAAAACCGGCCGATTCGTCGCAGGTGGACGGCCAGATGGCTCAGCCGTCGTATGGGACCTGGACACCAAAGCACCTGTCCGGTGGCTGGAGGGGCATGTGAAAGGTGTCACCAGTGTAGAGTGCGTGGACGCGACTTCCATGATGAATTGTGAGTACTCATTCTCTCCCGGCAGCTGGTCGCGAAATTCGCGCTATGTACTGACCTCGTCGAAGGACTGGAACGTGATCGTATGGGACCTCGCGTCAGAGACCGAGCCCCCACATCGCCGGACGACTGTACGGTTCGATGCGCCCATTGTGACGGCTTCCTTCCATCCTCGGAATAGGTGAGTCGCTCTTATGAAGGTCAAATCGTCAGCGACAGGCTGAATTATGGCAGTCAAATCCTTCTAGTGCTGCTAGGTACAGGAGAGGCATATCTTGTTGACCTCCGGAAGGAACACAGAGGTCGCTTTGAGTTATGTGAGGTTCAAGAAGATAGCGATGAGGAGGGTCAGACGAACCGAACTGCAAGGTCGAGTAAATGTTCCTTACATCTATACCTTGCGTCTGAAGGATGTGGGGAGTAGATCTGCAATGACATGCGCACGATTCGATCCCACAGGACGTCTTGTCTTTGTGGGTACATCAACGGGCTGCATTCTTGTATTCAATACGCGAACCAAATCTGTAAGATTACAGATTTTCCTCCGTATCACATTGATGAAGTTAAGTTGTAAAGATGGTAGCCCGACATAAAATATCAGGCGCTGGTAACATGAAGGGGCTTGATTTCGCAAAGTCGGGGAGGTATGTTATTATATGCGCATCTAATAAGAAGCCACATCGTGACCTAAATTCTCAGACGACTTGTAACTAATTCTTCGGATCGAACACTCCGGCAATTTAATTTGCCCCTCTATCCGCCACCTTCAGCAGACGGCGCATATATCGAGCAGGAGCTTGAGCCTACGTACCGCTTTAATGATCCAATTAATAAGAATGCGTGGCACGCCATGTCGTACAGCCCCGATGGGGAATGGTTGGCAGGCGGTAAGTGACCTTTGTTGCGCTCGAGCTCCCAGGTGTTAGCCCCACGAGCTGCTAAGCTCAGCCTTGCTCATGGTTCATTTTCATTGTCAGGCGCTGCTGATAATGCAACACACAAAATCTACATATGGGATATAACCAACGATGGGCAATTTGCCATTGCATTAGATGGTGGTAGAGAACCTTTGCTACACGTCCACGTATGTCCTTCTCCAATGGCTACGACCTCAGCCCTCAAGTTTTATTTTCAGTGGCATCCGGTCAAACCTGCTATTGCCTCGACCACGAAAAATGGTAACATTCTCATCTGGCATTGTCCGACACCAGAACGCTGGGGTGCTTTCGCGGGTGGTTTTGAGGAGGTAGATGAAAATGTAGAATACGAAGAACGGGAAGACGAATTTGACATCGTGCGTCGTGTCTCCCCCCTTTTCCCTTTTTTCCCTTCCAAATTACGGTTTGGACTTACATGTCGTGATTGCAGGAAGACGAAAGCGAGCTAGCATTGCGTAAACAAAAAGCAGAGGAAGAAGAAGTGGATATTGAAGGGATGACTGGAAATGACGTTGTCAATGATGCTGAACATGCGCAGCGAGTACCCGAGGAAGACGAAGACATTGTCTGGGCGTTGGAAGAACCTGACGACGACTTACGTGGTTGGAAAATGAAAATCATGATGGAGGACGATACAGATAGTAAATGAGTCGTGTCCATCCTTCTGGCTATACTTGCGGTGTTGGTTGCGATTCGATCCAATCGAACATTGCACGAATATGACGGTAAGGTATTCTCGAAATGGTCTGGCAACATGGTGCCTCATACCATGACATACAGGAGGCACAGGTGAATGTCAGGATACCTATCCCTGAAGCGGCGTGTGCATGGTATACTGGTCAACCTGGCAGTCTCGTCTACTCTCGGGGAAGCTTTATGAAATACTGACACCCGAGGGAGGCTTGTGGATCACTTTTGAACATCGCTTATACTTTATGAGCTATTTCGTTTCGCTCGATTTTACATAAAATTACAGAGCATGTAGAAGATATAATGGAATATGTCCATCGTGTACTCCGAGTTGCAGGTATCCGCTTGCCATTGCTTTTGCAAGCTCCGATAGCGCCATGGTTGGTATCTGAATCTTACCGCTCGAAGAATAAATAGCGAGCGATCTTTTTAGTGTCATCATGTACACTCAATTGGTGGATGCGATTGCAAAAACAAGAGTTTCCAAATGCACTGCATACACACTAGAACGAACGCTAGCGATGACAGCGAACAAAGCACTCGGTAGGCGAGATTGATATCGCATCGATGGCATACAGTCTACGAAGGACAATAAGTAATAATTGCAGAAGCATGCACACTATACTACGAATACAAGTCCTATCACAAACTGCCAACTGTAAATTCTTCTCTATGGTTTACGAAGTCACATCTAGTCAACGGTACATCCTCCATATTAACTCGGAGTCCTCATAATCATGCGCTCCCTTCCGGGCGTCCCTGCTGCCCGCTCCAGCATTACATCCTCCTCATCTCGGCTCATATCTCCATCGTCTGTATATATTGAGTCTGCATCACCACTTGCTGTACTTCGCAGGCTCATCGTCTCCGATGATGCCGACGAATGTGGAGGGCGGATAGTGGGTTCGTCGTCCGTGGAGCAATCAAAGTCAGTCTCCGTCCCTGCCTCACTCGCAGCATCCGACGCAGATCTAAAGGAGGGAGAGTAGGGCAGCATATCGTCATGGTCATCCGAGAGACGACTCCTGACGGCTGGTCGTGTGATCCTGTGACGCTGCCCAAAATACGAGTCAACCGCTGCGAAAAAATCTGTGGGCCCTATTGGGGCTCGAGATGCCGTCGACTGAGAAGGCAAATATTGGAAGAGGTCGACATCATCCGGGATCCGAGACTGCAGGTCAACCATTTTCGTGAAATACTCCATTTCCTCGCACGAGATGGTCAAGTGGAAGTCATTGAGCAACAGAAACTGCAGCTCAAGCTGATTTAATTCGGCCAGGGGTAGGCCTCCCACCTACAAAATGGGTCAGCACCGCATTATCCCGAAAAGAGGAACAATAGGGACGCACCTTCGCGTATCGGGAGTTGGTATAAAAGACATCGCTAAAGAATTTGCTGGCTACAGTGACGCCGGCGATTATAAGGCGGTGAATGTTGTACATGTCGATTGGAAACGCTTTCCCGCATGCCTCCTTTGCAAGTCTCGTCATACGGTCAAGATATACCAACAAGGATACGAACACCTCATTGCTCGCCGGACAATACTTGTGAATTCGGGTTAAATAACCCTCCAGGGCGATTGTGGGGACATTGCGCGCATGAAAAGCGAGGGAAGAGGTGGTGGAGAGAGAGTGGCGCGATGCAGTCGTCAACGACCACCACACGGGGGGACGTTGGTCTTTGTGATGCTGAGAGCTCATTAGTTGTGACTGACTAGATGATGGCCCGTAGGCCTCTGCGGGGGTATTTGCATTCAGCTCAGCCATGCGTCTCAGAGCGGTGGCCAGCATCCGCAACAGGGTTTCAGGCTCGTACGTGTGGACGTCAGTGCCCGAGGTATCCGGTTGTACAGGCTCGTTGTCCTCAGCGTCAGACGCGGGTGGCGTATGTGCGTCATCCTCATCGGGCTGATGGTGAATTGGGAGAGGTTGAGAGGATGACAATGATGAAGGTGGCGCAAAGCGATGGGAGGAGACCTCCGAGGGGTCTGGCCTGTTGGGGGGCGGGGCAGTCAGGTTTAAGTAGGAAGAAGAACGAGACGAGGAAGGGAGGATGATGGAAGAATGGAGTTTCCGCTGTGAAGGGCGGGCGGAACGTGAAGCCGAGCTCGAGGACGATGACTGGGGTCGGAGCGGGTGATCTACGGTGGTGAGGGTGGCAGTATGTTGCATGGGGTGCGCGAGAGCAAGCATGGTATGTGCTGCACGGTGAGCTCGGGGACGAGGACGACGGAGACGGGGACTCTGCAGCTGGCTGGGTCGACGAGAACGAGTGCAGAGCGAATGCCAGTGTGAAGCAAAAAACCCGTCGCCTCCAGCGGCACAAGCCCCTCCGTCACGCGTAACGCCCGTCACACCCAGTGGGGCTCTGCGGCGGCGGTCCGCTCGCACGTTCCTGCCCAGGCTCAAATTCAAACTCTATCCATTCAAATGTAGAATCATTACTAGGGGTATTCACATTGATAGTGACTACTCTTCGCATATGCCCGAGCCGACTAGTGCATGGAGAACACTGATATGACTCCTTCGGAAGCTGGAGATCCCTCGCATGACTCGAGTCGCCTGCAATTGAATCAGCCTCTCAGCCTCAATGGGAACCGGTCATCGATGCGGGCATTAGGAACTTCAGACCTCGCACTCGGATCTAATCAGTCAGGATGCTGCCCTTCCGAGGCTGGTGGATCAGGCCTACGATCCAGTCTGCGCCTCTTGATCATCTGGATGTTCATCTCCATAGGTGTCTCTGAGCTATCCGTCAATACTGCGGACGCCTCCAGCTCTGGACTCGCAGCGCTCCTGCGCCTCTTCAGGTTCGTAACCTCAGCGGCAACGTCATCTTGAGGGACCGAGGATGCTTCTTCTTCCTCTCGTTGATCCTGAAATATGCGTTGCATCATGGATCAGTAAGACAATCAACAGATGCGTTCCGCCACAACGACGGACTTACCTCTATGGGTCGCTTCCCCAGCCCGCGGTTGAAATCACCGAGCCCGAGGCTCGCGTCCAGCCTCTCTTTAAATATCGCTACCCGCGACCAGCGGGGTACTGCGTAAGCCTTCCATCTCTTGTTGCCCTCTATCATAGAGTTCGTTGCGATAGTTGGCAGTGCTAGCTGCATTTTTCGTGAAAACCGTGCCTCCCCCTCTAACGTAGCAGATAGAGCGGAGGTGTCTAACACAGCTGGCGCCTTTACTGTGCCAAGTAGATCGTCCACTGTCTCCCAGATTTCTGCACCGGATTTTTCGTTAAGTGTAATCACTTGATGCAATGTTCTAGGGACCTGGGCCTTCACGTTCGCCGCGTCAGGCCTCGCTATATGCGTTGGCGCAATGGGAAGATGCTCGGAGATCGCTTTGGGAGGCTTTCCGGTCTGATGATCCCGACCAACATCATCATTATGAGCGAATGCAAATGCGAGTGCTTGAACGAGATTTTGAGGAACGTATGTCCCTGCGTTTCTTGTTTCATCATCCTGGTTTGCCTTGTCTTTACCATACACGGTGGCTCGTCTTTGTCTTCTCGTCAGGGAAGGAAGTACAACACCGTCGAAAGCGAATGCCTTCCTGGGTCGAAGTTCGCCTTGATTGTCGATCCGCTGTAGTATCGCTCCCGAAGATCCACGCGACTGTTGAGAACTCAAACCGGACGTTGTCCCGGGACCATCGTCTACATTTGAGGAAAATGATGACAAGCCTACTCGTAAGTCATCTGATCTTTCAGGGAGGACATTTGATAGCGTTGAGAACAATGGCATTTGATAATCGAGCGCGTTAGATGTTGGCGAAGTCGTCGCAGGCGTGTGATCCACGACTGTGGCCTCCAGTTCATCTTCAAGTTCAGGCTCTGCTTCAGGTTCAGTAGCTGTTTCAAGAACTGTCCACGACGGGCTGTCTTCTGGGCCGCCGGAAGGCCCAGTAATGGTCTCGACTGGCGCTCGATCATTTCCTGGAAGGGGTTCAGGTTTCTTCTTCGGAGTCACCACCACATAAAATGGATTGCGCCTGGGCATGTGACTTGAGGATGGCACATCATTCATTGGGAGTGAGCCTTTATGCTCAACTGCCCATGTGACAAGATCTTTGTCCCAGTGAGCAACTCCAAGCCTGTTATCCAGGTTCTTTCCTACTCACTTTCTTCTGATGTAACTATATCAGAGTTCAAAAGAACAAAATTTGGTGCAACAGGTGATGGCTGTAAGATTATATGTGACATTCAGCTTGCTGTTAAAAGATTAAATCAGTGATGAACAATGAGAATAAATATGCAAAATGCATGTAAAATGTGATAGTAATTCCAATGAACATTAACTTGAATGTGAATGCAAGTATCACAATGACCTTGCAATACTTTCAAATGAGACAACAAGAAACAGGCCAGGATGACAAGCCATGGATGTATCTACCAGTATCTATGCTATCCAAGTGATGACAACATCTGGCTCAAACATATGTTTGTTAACACTCATGACACTCATGTGGTCATTACAGATCCACAATTTACCATAACTTATGAAGTTATAGAGCAATGTAAAGGTAAGACTTACCTCTGAATCTGGGTCAGGACAAGCAAATAGGTTAGAAAACAGTGGTGAAAGATAAGCCAGGAGAATGACAAGTGCAGGTAGTATTTAGTAGGTATGGAGTTGTGTTGTTTAATGTTTGTGAGTGTTTGTTGTCATGTGATCAACCAATCATGCTCATGCATGTGATTCTATATGGCAGACTGCCACCTCATGTCCAAATTTTCTAAGTGCCTGGTTTTGTTGTTTACATGCTCCCTAATGCATATAGATCCTGTGTACAAACAAGATGACACATCTCTCCAGCAAGATGCAACATCTATCAATAGTCAATTGTGTCATGATATGATAGTTGCTGTGAATTCCCTTTCCATAACTGTCAGGCAGAGGAACTCACAATCACTTAGGAGATTTACTAAACAGAATATGAACAGCTAGAATGCAGCTCTTAGTACCACATGCATCACACTATAACATATGAGGATGATACAATCATAAGGATTTTAAGATGTAGTAGCCATATATCCACCAGCACCATAGGCAGCATATTGCAGCTAGCATGCACACCCATCACTTAACAGTGACTCATCAGTAATACACCATATACACATATCAATGATGCATCCACGTTCTGTCACCCATATTGATGCCGAAGGGCTATATCTAAGTCACACGATAGATAAATACGTACAGACAAACAGACAGTATGAGAATCCACAGGACACACGAAGAATCATAGTTCGTCGCGCGGCTCCTCTTCTGCGCGAAGTGGCAAGCACACGGCTGGGGAAGTTGCTGTGAACTGATACTCGCACTTCTCCGGCTCTGCCACAGTCAAAAGCTCATTCTCGATCCCACAGCTGAAGACGACCTGTTCAAAGGCAGAAAAATTATGGTGAGCATGCTGATAATCAAATTCGACTCGCGCGACGTACGGTAACGCTTCGCATAGGACCATTCCAACACTTCGTCCCTTGAGTGTAATGTTGCTTGCCGTAATATTCAGGCGAACCCACGGCGGCGCCGGTGTCCCAAGAAGAGAATTTGCTACCACGAACATCAGGAACCTCTCAATTCTTGAATACCGTCTTCACTTACCCTAAGCTCTGGGTAGAGCCACCCTTATTAGGTTTTTGTCTGGCTTCATCAAAGAGGCAGACTTCGTAGGTGTATCTATAGATTCAGAGACAACGTCAGGTATGATTCATAGGTGATAATTATAGAACTTACTCTCCGGTATCCTTCGATAGGCACGTTCCTTGTAACCGTTTCCACTCGCCTTCGGAGCCGAACCATGTAGGATCAAACAAGTGCGAGAGCTCCTCTTCCGCTTTCTTCTGTTCTTGTTTAACGGCACTCAGATTCTTGTCGGCATCGTTGAAGGCCTGGCGTGCCTTCGAATTGTCTGATTTACCAGTGCGTCTACTGCATCAACAAGGGATTAAGGAGATGCGCGCAATCACACGAACCTGTGGACGTCGCTGTCGTACCACTAGTCAAGCCGAACGACTGAAGCCACGAAGAGACAGTTTGAAGGAAGGCTTCGAATGGCGGAAGAAAAGCGTCAGGGATGTATGCCGTTAGATCATATACTACCGATATAATCGGCGATGTAGTTCAAAATTGAACATAAGTGACTTACGAGGTGAGTCCGATACTGGGGCTCCTATATGCTTGTCATGTTCTATGAGTAAAGTTTCATAATCGCTGTTGATCAGACTGTCGAGCTTTTTGTCGAGTTGTTCTGCAGTCCATTCGCCCTCGAGCTCTTGTTCCTGTTGCGAAGGGACTTCTTGCTTGTGACTTTCGTCATCTTTCGCAACGTCGTTGATATGAGGCAGACCTGCGAGCGCTTCCCAGCCACGAACAGCCTCCAAAACCGCCATGTCTTGATAATTCGGATTGTAGCCCAGGCGGAGCGCATCGAGAATATCACCCAACGCCTTTTCTCGTTCAAGATGCAGCTTGTACTCGGATTCGAGGGCCTTGAGCGCACGTGAATGTTCCATGAGAGATGCATATAACGCTGAAGATAAATGAGAAAATAACAGAAACGCTCAGTGAACAAGATCTATAACTTACGGGACTGCTTTTTATACTCCAAAGCCGTAGCAGAAATTGATTCCGCTCGATCTAGAATATCTGGAGAGCGCGTTAAGAGACAACTATGTTGGTGAAAGCATTTCTAACCTTTCAGCCGCGCAACCTCATCTTCTCGTACTGCAATTTCTTGTTTTGCCGTAGTGATCTGGCCCTCTAACCGCCTCTTTTCCTTCTGCGCAGAAGCGATATACAATGTGCGGATTTTCGAGCCCTATGAATCACTCCAAGATAAGAGTACAAGAATTGCGATCCAAAACAACTTACTGTGCTTTGAACTTTTCGTTTGGCTGCTTGCTCTTCTTGATATACTGCCCCAACCTCCTTACATACATTCGGACAGATGCCCAGGCGTTCGTCTGAGCCGTCACAGCATTCAGGCTCTTGATGGGAGTCAGAGTTCCGGACTACGATAGAAATGCATCGACTCACCGCAGAGTCCATCTCCAACTCGCGTACTAGGTATATGTGCACCTATGTGACCCTCGTTCCTGCAGTAGAATATACCATTGGGACACGCCCCAGTACCTGTAGAGGTAGATATTTTAATATAATATATTATGCTTTAAAAGTCTTCCTAACCAGGCTCATCGCTTCCGTCAGGGCAGTCACAATAATCATCGTTTACGGCCGACCACGAGATTGTCTTCGAACCATCAAGACAAGTCCACGGCGCCGACGGCGAGCCTGGCGATTGATAACGAGAGAGAAGAGATAGAGAGACTCCGTGCGTTTTGTCGACGCCAGCAAGTACAGGAATAGGCAGCGCGAGCAATAGCCAGGGTACCATGGATGGTCGACGTGGAGGACTCGACACAGCTGACGCGCGATTTGACTGTTCCTCTGACAAGCGCCCTCCGATCATACGCAGCTCCCAAAAAGGCAGGCGAACAGGGACCCTTTGCTAGACTCTGGCGGTAAACGAATCATTCTTGTAGTGGATTAAAAATGATTGTGTACACCGCAGTACAACAGGTATATGCGAAGCCAGAAACGCATCACAGCGTGGTAACTGGATCAGATACCCTAGTACAACTAGCTAATTGGCAGGTAGGACCACGCCACGGCGTTGATGCAGAAATTCGTGTATGGGGTAATAACAAAAGTGGCGTACGAATGAAGCCATGCTGGTGGTCGCGGCCTCAAGGGTAATATCGTAGTACGATCTGACTGCAACATGTAGAATACATCAGTGGGTAAGCGTGTTCAGTGGAGAATATGCGTCCGAGACACTTGGATATCGACTCAACTTGACGTTCACACGAAAGGATAGGGTGCGGGAAAGTTGCACATACGCCGAAATCAGGAGGCTGTGAGATGGGTTTATATCAACCACAATACATTTTGCGATGCCGAATGACTAGAATCCATATATCTTACTGTAAGAATGACAAATGTAATACTTTGCAGACTGTGCCGGGCATCTAGCAACGAATGGAGGAAACTGCGGAGTAACGCGGCATTTTGGATGCTCGGACCCCCATAGTCACTAACTAGTGACTAAGTACTACTGGCAGTAGCATGAGTGCGAACTTCGAAATGCGCGCCACTGGCACGAAATAGACACCCAAAGTTTCAACCCCGCTCGGGGATAGCCGCTGTCTCTAATCGCCCCGTTGCGGTTCTCTGCGAAACCTTCAGCACTCTCGGAAGGCCGTCAAGACAATGGTAAGCGGTTCATTTTGTTGCAGGACGCGACCAACATGTCGTATGGATACCGCTACGAGGCGTTGTGCCGAAGAGCGGTGTCTACTACGATGGATTGGGCTGATTGCTTTAGGATAACATACCCGGGCAAACGCTGACGATGATTCTGTAAACAGGCCAAGGCTAAGGCAGCACCCACATCGTCGAGCGGCGGCAAGGCTGCAAAAAAGAAAAAATGGTCCAAGGGAAAGGTCAAGGACAAAGCGCAGCACGCCGTCATCCTTGACAAGCCCACTTTCGATCGTATCATGAAGGAAGTCCCGACTTTCCGATTCATCAGCCAGAGTATCCTCATTGAGCGACTGAAGATCAATGGGAGCTTGGCCCGGGTAGCTATCAGGCACCTGGAGAAGGAGGGGCAAATCAAGCGGATTGTCCACCACAGCGACCAGCTGATCTACAGTGAGTCTCTATGTACTCGTTGCGAAGTGGTGAGCTGATCGTTGGTACCACAGCACGGTCAACGGGTGGCACGGACTGATATCGTTGTACTGTCTCCTGCTCTCGCATGCATATTCAGACTGCATATGTATTCACACCATTATAAAATGTGCTATGACATGCCCCACATCTCTGATCCCGATTCTCCCCATAAGATGCGAGTATTTCATGCTTGTTTGAGTGCGCTTTGCGATAAGAGTGGTCATAGGACAATAGCCTGTGTAGGAGGTATGTCCCACATCTCATTCCGCGAGGCATGGCTTGCGGCGTGATATCCAGATACCGGTGTAATCGTGAATGTGATTCGACTGTGGTAGTTCTGCGCGTGTCCTCTTTTGCGATACAGTCGGCAATCCCTGCCCTGCACCGCGCCATCCCATCTTCTCAAAAACAGCCAAAGCGGACAGCCCATTGTCCGACGCCCAAGCGTCTGCCGAGATAGGCGCCTTGCCGCAGGCGGATGCATTTGGAACCAAGCCACCGTGTGGCGTACGCCTTGTCTGCGTGCCGGTTTCTAACGCTTCTTCACGGAACTCGGTGCCCTTACGTGTGGAACATAAAGGCTCAGCCGAGAATGTTGCGCAGCCCGACCATCTCTTGGGCCCATCAGTGGCACAGCGTTGTGGCCCTCCTGGCTGCGTATATAGACCTCGCAGCCATGGCCGGTGGCTTTAGTTTTCCACCCACTTCCACTACTGTCTCGCACACCTCCTGTGTCCTTCATACTCAATGTCATCATCCAGCATCATGGTCGTCGACGAGCTTGATTATTACTCTCAAGACACTCTGCTACTGTGGATGTTAGGTTCACCGGTCAATTGGGGATTCGTCGGTATGTCTCGGTTTTTGATTGTGCGTCCACATGCTTATGACTTGCAGACTACATGCTTGACTACATAGTTGTGGCGGTACAGCGCTCGCGTATGAGACCCAACCATAGGCTGAAGGATGTATTCTTCACCAATACCGTTAAGAATATCGTTGAGAAGTCACAAGTCGAAATGCGCATGCTCCTGGTCGCCCTCACGTATGTCGACCGCGCCTGCGAAAATATAACGGGGGATGGGGATGAGTGGGTCTGCGAACAACTTTTCATTGGTGCACTCATGCTTGCAGACAAGGTATGTCCGTATCCATCTCACCTTGATGGTTATTGACTCATTAGTTACTTTCTAGTATACCAATGATCAAAACGTCAATATAAGAGCATGGCTATCCTGGGTGTCGGTTATGAGGCAATGCGACCTAGTCCGCATCGAGCGCAACTTTCTGAAACTTCTCAACTACGACCTTCATATTCAGGACTCGGACCTCTTGCGACATTTCAAGCCAGTATATGCCTTGTGCATAAAGAATGAGGGGTATTCTCAATCGTTCTTCGAACGTCAAGAGTCGTCCAAAGTCTCCTCGTCCATCAGCGAGCTTCCACCTTCTCGTCGAGCAATTCAGCGACCCACTGCTGTTCGTGCTCCTGTAGCAATGCGCATACCACAGAGATCATGTGGCTTCCATGGGTGCGACGGCACTTGCCCTAGTTCCCAGTCATCTCCCTCGTCTCCCATGGTCGCCACGCCACCGGACAATTCTCTGCTCTCGCTCGCGCTGCCTGGATCCTATCGTTCTCAACGAGCGCAGACCCGAAATTTGCGCGCGTTCCGACCATACGAAATGGCCGATCGATCACGCAAGACGACCCCAGGTTGGCGCAGTGCGGGAGCATCGGACGCATCTAGTTTCTACGTCAAGTACAATCCAACAACAATCTTCCCTCCACCACAAGGTTCTCTACCCCGATATAACTACGCATCATCGTCACGTAGGCCGTGGGCTCTATACTCATAATCTGAACTGTGCCCAGCTTTATGGTCCCAACATCATTCACACGCATACTTGAGGAACACGCAAGTCCTCCCGCCCATCCGTCAGTCGGTCCGTTTATCGCACCAGACAGGCGCGTTTCGTTGTTTCCCAGCTGAACCAACATCCGCATTTACGGGAATTTGGCCTCAGTGCCTTTCGTTCGCGTCCATTCGCCAATTATTCTGGAGATTCATTTCGCCCATGCGGACAACGGCTTGTATACCTGATGTATCTCATACACTTGTCCCCCCGCATTCATGATACCCTCGCAATTCCTTCAGGACGCTGCAGTAAGCTATCTGTCAGCGTGACCGTCCTGCTCTGTTATCGGGACCCAGAATGTAGCATAGCGTCGCTTCTTCTCTCGGGCATGTATCTGTAAATACATCATTTTTTGAAATTCTCTCATCGCCCGTGCCGTCGTAGCAGTATAGGAATGTACAAGACCCCAGTAGCCTGGAATAGCGCGCTTCAGGTACTTGATAGCTGTCAAGATACTTAGCGCCGCCTTGGTTATGACAGCGGTCTACGGGCGCCTAACGTTCTTCATTCGAGCCGCCACTCCGCCTTCGAGTATCTGTGCCAGTATCTTCGGGTTTTACCTGTGCAGAACCATAGATGAATCCGTGGAACATATCAGAAAGATAACAATGCTCTTGTACTTTGGGTGGCTGCCATCCATCGTCAGCGACGCAAAAGCACAAAGGACCGGTGACGCCACAAGGTGAGAAAGCATACATTCAGACCCCACTCAAGGCAATAATGCAATCATATCCTGATTTTGGTGTGCGTATCAAGTCATCATATGAATGATATGCTAGTCCAAGGTGGCGTGCGCTAGCTGCCAATTACGCTCAGGACGTGCACGGCATAATGCAAGAGACGTGCATGTGGTTCTCGTGCATACCAACTTGGACGTGTAATACCTGCGCACCGTTTTCCTGAATCGATATTACTGCTGACTTGTGCTGGGTTTGGAATTATTCCGTGCCGCATGTCCACTCTTGTGGCATCCTTGGTCACGAACAATGGCTTTCGTGGCTCAGCCACATTAAACCAAAATCAGTCATGGATAAAGAGATTTTCGACCCTGCTTTAGTTCGCTACATTCTAGTAGTTTTGTTCATCCTTTCTCTATCGCATCCGATGGATCCTTCAAAATCCCCCAGCTATTCCTTTTTTCGTTGCGACATGTCTACCTCTAGAATCTCTCCCAACAGCCAAATCGACTTCTTACTTCACGATCCTGCGCTGGTGGAGATGATCTACACACCGGTCAATTGGGGATTAGTCGGTGAGCTGACGCTGTTTTCGTCAGCGTGCCGGGAGTATAGCTCAAACGCAATCATGTAGACTATCTAGTGAACCGTACTACTGACGCTATCAGCTGCTCAACGCTCTTCTCTCATGCTCTGAAGACCGCATTCTTTGTCAATTTCGTCAAAGACATCATAATCAAATCCAGAGCCATGACTCCAATGTTACTCGTCGCTCTTGGGTACATGAGTCGAGCAGGTCGAGCATTATTGGATAATCTTCTTCACCAATGGAGATGCGAGCAACTCTTTCTCGGGGCATTGATACTCGCATCAAAGGTGTGATCAATCTCGGGCCCGCTTCTCATTGGCATCGTGCTGATGGAGCCGCTGTGAATACAGTACATTTATGAAGAGCCTATGGGAGCTGCTCAATGGGCGTCTTTAACTGGAATCTTCAGCGTAAAAGATATCAACCGTATCGAGCGCGAATACCTTATTCTGATCCAGTACAACCTTGGAATTTGCGAGGCTGATCTACTCGCACATTACGAGCCAGTCTTCTCCCGCGCAAATTCCAATGTTGCGCAATTGCGGGCACTTCAAGGATCCTGGTCAACAACGGCTAGCGATGTCGTCCCGATCAATGCCATTCTACCGACCTGCACGACACAGGCACAATTACTCACATTCCCAGCCTCCGGTCCCAGCTCGAACGGTCCGTCGTCTGACACACCAAAGGTCACAGCGCCCGGTCATTGTCCAGACCCATCGTCGCGCTATCATGCCCCTAATGCCTCCATCTTTTCTCACACTCGGAGTTTTCTGCGCACCAGCGTAGTACACCTATCACCATGTGCCGCCGGTTTTTGCCTCCCGCCACTTACATTCCCTTTGGGGCCTGACATCTCCGTCCTACCTTCGCTCCGGACCTTGTTCACGGAGCACCTATGTGAACCGAGTTATGTTGGATGCGAACCGTAATTGCTACCGTTATTCGCCAAAATGAAATCGCACGCCACCATACGCCTGCGCTTCCAGATATCAGAACAGATTCGAGGCAAGTGCGATTCCATGGATGGCCGTCTCGACCATTACACTTCGGGGCCGAAAGGCTGCCTAACGTCCAAACTATTTTCCATTTGTCGAGTCGAAAGTGGAAGAAGACGCAAACATCAATGAATATCTCACCCACTGCGGTGACTGGACGCCTCCCTGAATCATATAAAGGCTTACACGGCTCGTTAAATGTTGCCCGCTGCCCTGGCCGACCGCCGCTGGATGCCATATCTGGACTTCCCTTCACCTGCACTCACCCAGATCTACCCCCTCCTCTTGTGTGCACGAAGTTTTTTTCCAGTGCTGTCCTTCTGAGGTGCACTCTCAAGCGTTTGTGGCTAGGGCAGATGTGCCTCAGTGGCAAACGTATCTGTGTACTAATATACGATGGTCTCCAAATTCACAATGGACATCTGTTGGAACTTTGTACAACTACTCATAAATCAAGTGACATTAAGTTTGTACTTGAAAATAACATTCAATTCCATTGAAGTTCACAGCTTTCATTGCCATTGCCGAAGACGTATACTTTCGAGGGCACTCGCGATCTTGATCGGATTACGTACCGTCGGATAACTTGAACTCGAACTCAGATCACACATTTTACTTCCTCCGGGCTTAGTATGGTAAGCTATCTTCGTTCGGTTTGAGCATCTCAATCCTGTTCACGATCCTATGCTGAAGCCTGAAACTGTAGTCGTCTGCTCAGACAGTTTCAGTCTCGTGAACCCTCGGTTATATGCCATGTGTATCACTGGCAGCGTGTGTACCCAGTAGTTCTAATATGTGTAACTCGAAGTCTCTTGGATCAAACTCTATTGGACTACTACAAGGTCATTTTGATTGCTTATGACACGCCTTCAGGCCACTGAAAACAGATACTCTCCCGCTGCCCTAGGTCTCTCGTACCACAGTTCTTCTGGCTTGTGCCCGCGTGTTCCGTATCTATTGCGCACTTCTGCACTGAGGCGCAGATCATCCCATCGAGGCTATCGTCGAGCTTGTGAAGTTGGCTCAGGGCCATAAATGCAGACGACGGGGACGCGATTGACAGAGACGCTTGTGGTGCAAGACGATCTCAAACCTCTCATTCCTCATCATTTTGCCAAAGGAAGCTGGCTTCCCACCTCAGACTGGCGTCCTGTACCACCCGATAAGTCACACCCTGCAGGTAGCAGCTTACCTTCATCCCTCCGTCTTCTGTCATGGAACGTCGACTTCATGGCGCCCAATCAAAGCGATCGGCTGCGCTGTGCTCTCTCACACATCCGCTCTCACCTCTCATCTGCATCCACATCTACTTCAGGACGTACCTCTGATACTTCCGAGGCACAGTCCGTAACAGCTGAAGGAACCGAGCCGGTTCCGTGTTGTATACTCCTACAGGAAATATCTGGCGGGGCTTTTCCGGCATTGTTGTCCGACAAATGGGTGCGTCGGTATTTCACCGTCGTGCCTAATAGCGTTACAGAGTGGCCGACTCGGACATATGGTGTTGCAACGCTCATTTCACGAAGTATACCCGTCCTCAAAGCGCAGTCACTCGCGTTCAGTAATTCGCGCATGGGACGGAACGCGTTGCTAGTGGACGTGCGACTTAGCGTCAGTCCCTCTTCTCTCGGCAACTCTCCAGATGGAGAGACGAACGAGAGATCGCGCACTCATGTTCTACGCATCGGGAATGTGCATCTTGAATCACTCCCCCAGGGCACCCCGATGCGCCCATCGCAACTTATGGCGACGGGCAAGATGCTTCGCGCGGAGGACGTAAACGGAGGGATTGTTGGGGGCGACATGAACCCGATTGACCCAATTGATGCGGCCATACATCAGAATGCGGGGCTGGAGGACGCATACCGCGGTGCGGAGGAGAACGAAAACTCGTTTACCTGGGGATACCAACCCCCGAGTGGGTATCCAGCGCGGAGGATGGACAAAATTTTCTACACCGCTCAGGAGGGATGTCGGATGCAAGTCGATGAGCCAGAGAGAATCGGCGTTGGGTTGAGAACCGCGCAGGGGCAGTGGGTTAGCGACCATTACGGTTTGCTAACCACTGTTCAGCTCGATCTCGTCGCTAGTGTCGAGGAGGTTGACGCTCAGATTCCTTCCGAGTAGCGACGAGATATCATTCTAATGTAGGTTATGCTGCAAAAGAGGTATGTACTAGTACGGCTGTAGAAACATCTGGGGAGGATTTCTGTATAAGGGAAATGCCGACGGAGGTTCCAGAGCTAGGTTAGGGTTGGCGTATGACGTTCAATGTGCACTCCGTTCCGGACCGTGGCACGAATTAGTTGCACCCCGCCTCGCTTCTGCTCTTTCTCCTTCTCTTCCACTAGATTCATCCGCCACCATGCCCGCAGAAACTTACTACATCGGCGTCGACGTCGGGACAGGCTCTGTCCGTGCCGGCCTCGTCAAGCACGACGGCACCCTTGTCGCATCCTCCACCGAAACCACAATCACCTACCGCGATCACAATGATCATCGCATTTTCGAGCAATCTACCAACAATATTTGGGATGGCATGTGCAAAACCATAAGAGCAGTTCTTTCAGAGGCCAAAGTTGCACCGTCCGATGTCAAGGGTCTCAGTTTCGACGCGACCTGCTCCCTCGCCGTCAGCGACATGAATGGAGACCCCGTCGTCGTCACCAAGGGCGACAAGATGGGCGAGATCGGAGACCGCAATGTCATCCTCTGGGCTGACCACAGAGCTGAAAAGGAGGCCGAACTCATCAACAGTACAGGATCGGTCGTCCTAGATTATGTCGGCGGTACCATGAGCGTGAGTCGTCGTTCCCCACTTTATCACCGGCGGTGTTAATCCCCCAGTGTAGCTCGAGATGGAAATACCCAAAACTCTCTGGCTGAAGAAGCACATGAAACCCGAGCGCTTTGCCCGCTGCCAATTTTTTGACCTTCCTGACTTCTTGACCTACCGCGCGACGGGGGACAACTCGCGTTCTTGCTGCTCCATCACCTGCAAGTGCTCCTACGTTCCTACTAAATCGGGCTGGCAGGCGGAGTTCTTCCAGAAGATCGGTCTCAGCGAGTTTGTCCACAATGGCTACAAACAGCTAGGGGCCGCTGAACAGCAAGTTCTCACTGCTGGATTGCCAGTTGGCAAGGGCCTGTCGAAAAAGGCTGCGGAAGAGCTTGGTCTCCTGGAGGGCACCCCCGTCGGAAGCGCCGTTATCGATGCGTGAGTGTTCTAGCTGAGTTGTTGTGCAGCCGCTCTGGGCTTACTGGCTGCAGCTACGCTGGATGGCTAGGTACAGTAGCTGCTCGGTACAGAGAGAATGGGAAGCTGGTTGAGACAGTCCCCTCCATTGACGAGTCACGACATCGTCTAGCTGCCTGTGCAGGGACCAGCACATGTCACATTGTGCAGGTTAGTATAAATTGTTTACTCTCTTACTGATACCGGCGCTGAACTTCAATATAGAGCCGCAAAGGTGTATTTGTGAATGGTGTTTGGGGCCCGTATCAAGTCAGGAGCTTTCCTTTTCTTGGGTAATACATATCGTATTGACGCATGAACATAGGGCGCTATATTCCCCGGCTGGTGGATGAACGAGGGTGGCCAATCTTCCACAGGACAAGTACGCACCCGACTACATATTGTAATTCGCCTCTAATGTGTGCCACATAGCTCATCGATTTCATGATCACAACACATCCTGCATATTCCAAGCTGCAGCAACTCGCTGAGGAGCAAAAGACGAACATCCATGATGGTGATTATTCTTGCATTTCTCGTCTTTGTCATGTGGCTCATACGGACTACAAAGTGCTGGAGACCGAGTTGAACAAAGCGTGCAAAGAGCACGGCGCGGCTAGTTGGACAGACCTCACCAAGGAAGTGCACTTCTACCCCGACCTGCACGGGAACCGTTCGCCCATCGCCGACCCGCGCATGCGGGGCATGTTTACCGGTCTCGCACTCGTATGTAGTCCCGTTTTCACGCTCTCCCCCTTTCTTCATCAGATGGCCTACCGCAGGACGCGACGCTCGGCGACCTCGCGCGCAAGTACAACCTCACGATGGAGGCGATCGCGCTGCAGACGCGGCACATTGTCGACGAGATGAACGCGCAGGGGCACGAGATCACCGCGATCTACATGTCCGGCGGGCAGGCGAAGAACACTGCGCTCATGCGCCTGTTCGCCAACACGTGCGGCATGCCTGTTGTTCTCCCCGACAACAGCGGCGCTGCGGTCGTCCTCGGTGCGGCGATGCTTGGGCGCGTCGCTGCGGAGGTGCAAAAGAGGGAGCACTTGAATGAAGAGCAGGTCGGTGAAGCCCTGTGGGACATCATGGTGAGTTTCTTGGTTTGTTTCAGGAGGGATGACGCCGAGTGCTTACGGCAATTATGTCAGGTGGAAATGACGCCCCCCGGCACGATGGTCTCACCTTCTGCCAGCCCAGCAGAGAAGAAACTGCTCGAGGCAAAATACAAGATCTTCAGAGAGTCCATCGATATTCAGAAGCGATGGCGAAAGCAGATGGAGGAAGCCTCTCTGTGAGAGCTTCTCGCATGCGACCAACATAGAGTGTAGGCGTAACTCCGTACATCATCATCTCACTTTGGGAACATCTTTGTATAAACCCAGATTCATGAATCCTTGCCGCTGTACTACTAAATAGAACAGAATCGTTGTCGCGCCAACAGACTATGGGGATTCGCGGCCGGGCATAAGTCATGATGCATATGCAAATCGCTGCATACAAGTTTTTGTGGTGCGCGTACAGGTGGAATGGCATAAAGACAGCAATGCAGAAACGATCCAACAGCAGGCCCTTATACTTCTTTGACCTTGACCGTACCACGGAGCAGACCCGTCTACAGGCGAAAAATTGAGGATGTACCCAAACCGCAGAGAAATTGGTGGTACATACCCGACGGGCGGCAATAAGACCGACTTTCTGACCGGGTACAGCAGAGCGGGCGATTGTCGAGGCCTTACCAATATGTTGGTGGTTACCACCACCGTGAGGGTGATCGACAGGGTTCATAGCAACACCACGAGTGCGGGGCCAGCTGTTAACGTGCGCAATTAGCTATTTTGTGAGGTTGTAGTCAGAACAACACGCACTTGTAGCGCTTGGCCTTGTATTTGTGGAACGCACGACCAGCCTTGAGTAGGGGCTTATCGATACGTCCACCACCCGCAACAATACCGATTGTTGCTCTGCAGCTGCCAGAGACGGTCTTCTTCGCGCCACTTGGAAGTCGGATGCGAGTCTTGTTCTCATCGGGCGAATGGCCGATGACGGTAGCGTAGTTGCCGGACGTCCGGGCGAGCGCACCGCGGTCACCGGTCTTCTCCTCAACGTTATTGACGATTGTACCCTCAGGACATTGGGAGACGGGGAGGACGTTGCCGACGGCGAGGGTAGCCTTCTTGCCACAGTAGACGAAGGCACCAGTGTGGAGACCCTCGGTCGCAACAAACGTCTCCTTGCGAAGTTTGTATCGGTAGGGGTCGCGGAAGACGACACGGGCAAGAGGAGCACCGCTGAAAGTGTCGTAAGCGTTAGTGTGCGTCTGCGCGACATAGAAATGCCACGAACCGGCCAGCGTCGTGGATGATCTCCTTCACAATGCCCTTGATGTATCCATTGCGTTCTGCGAAGTCGAGAGGACGGAATTGCGCAGGCGCCTTGTTGTGGTGGGTGTGCGCCTTGAACTACATTCGCAGATTATATGATCCATCAAAGGTTTCCGGAGTCAAAGGAAAGGAACATACGATAGCATGAGAGCGCCTCTGTGCCCGAATAACCCTACCCATCGTTTAATCTACAAAGAACGTATGAGCGACAGCGAGAAGGACGACGCAGAACAAGCGCAGAATCCAAGTGGGGTGCATCCAGAGACCGACAGTCGCATCCAGCCCAGTTCTCGGCCAAATCATACCGCATTTTTTACGACAGAGCATTCCAAAGCATCCGCAAGGATTATGCGACGACCCCTAGTAGCAATTTGGCAAAGCATACTCACATTCTTGCTGGTCGGAGACGTGGATGACGGCGTCGGTGGATTTTCCCTGTGCGTCTTGGCTGGGAAACTCCCGGGAGGAGTCACGTGAATCGAGCTGTGGCGCGGGCGTCTAATGCGCAACTAGACCGGGTTACTTACTTCTTGCTCCGGCACTGTGAAGGTAAGTAAGTTGTAGGTGAGCTTAGAACAGTCAACCCCGACGACTGACAGCATCACCGCAGGCATTCTGTCCGTTGTGCTCGATTTGAGAGAGCATGTAGCTGTCCAGCGGGAAACTCTTGACATCGTGAGTGAATCATTCTAAAGCGCGTACATATGGTCTGAACACAAGTTGTAAGAGCGGATTGATTGAGCGCTGTGCTCTCCATGGCGCGCATCTGACTGGAATCCAACTCGTCTCTCGAGCTGATCCCGGGCTATTTCCGGCCTTACAGGCATGCCGTAAGAGGCTAATACAAGTGTTGGCCTTTGCGGCTGCCTCACATGGCATTCAAGGCGTTCTTTCCTACCACTCGGATAAGGTGTGTCACGGACATCTCAATCCGGCGCGAACGCTCATCATCCTCTGGGCTAGCAACAGTCCGTGATGATGACATTGCGCGTGCTGACATGGGCGAGAGTAGGGTGATGGGCCTGGCAGTGGGTGAATTGAGTGAGAGACGGGAATGTCTTGGGATGTATTAGTGATGCATGGAAAGAAGCGGCCGCGCCTGGCGCAGCGTGTGTGCGTTCTATTTCCCACTTGGACTTGAGTCTTATCGAGCGAGAGCTGGCGGTCTGACATCTGTCGCCTGGGTGTGTTTCATTTTGAATCGGAAAGGAGACGCGATTCCGTGATCTGAGGTCGATGGAATCGATCACGCTGCGTAAATGCGGGCAAGTGCCACGATCTGTATATATACCCGAGACGGGTCGTCCGTACGCTGTGCCTCGCAGCGCGCAGAGGTGCTCGCCGCTGCCCCCGACGGCGAGAGAGGGGCGCGCCGGGGCGCATTCGCACTCAGCGCGCGCTCGGCGAGGCAAAGTCACACGGCTCTCCTCGTGCCCATCCCTCCTCTCGCTCAGCCCCCAGTGTGGACGTCGACTTGTGTGATCCAGCCCGGATTCGGTTCCCCCGACGCAGCGTGCGCATTCGCATTCGCCCAGCCCGTCTCTGCTCCCACCCCGCGCGCCTCCCGACGGTGTTCCTTGATCTCGCCGCAGCCTGTGCCTCGCTCTCCGGCCGGCAGTTCACCGTCCAGCGTGGACGAGTTCTGCGTTCTTCGCCTGTGATTCAGATTGCCATGATACATCTCGATCGCGGCCATTCCTCTGCTATCGCCCATCCAAAGTCCAATTTGATCCTCCCGGATGCTGATCAGCATTCCCTCTCCTCTTGGTCAGCGCCCACCCGCAACACCCCTCTGCAGCTCTATCAGGAACACCCAGATCCTTACCCCTTGCCAGGTCTTGAATCTCCAAGGCCGTCCGCCCCCCCTGACGCTCCCCCAGCTGACCCCCCCTCAAAACAACCCGCCGCCCGAGGCCCCATCACTCCCGCCGACGCTGAGGACCCAAAGCTGCCTGAACCCTCCCCCGCCAGCCCTCCCCCGACCTCTCCAGCCGCAGACAGCTCCTCTTCGCTCTCCCCACCACCCGACACTGCCACCCCCAGCGCACCGCCCGAGCCCGAGGCCAAGGATGGGCCCCCAGCGGAGCCCGCGCCACAAGGGTCGGAGAGGAACCCAGACGACAAGGGCGAGGCCGCCGAGGACGTCGATAGGGCGTCGCGCCAGTCTACTCCCCTGAGCGAACTCTCGTCCGCGCCGGACGACGACGTGCAGGAGAGCGAGCCAAAAGGCGCAGAGGGAGGCGTTGGCCTGTCGGATGACGCGTCGGCGTACCATTCGACTGGCTCGAGACCTGGCACCAAGGAGAGTGGTCCATTCGCGAACTCTAACATCGGCACATCGTCGTTCGGTTCCCACCAGCCGACTTTGAGTTCACCACGTCCTAGCCCTGCCGACGCTCGCTCGTCAGCGGATACCCCATCCTCGTTAGCCCACTTATTCACCCACAATGCTCCCAACCTCTTCACCAACGACTCATCGAGGCATTCATCTCCCGCGTTTCCTGCGTCTGCCTCTAAAACTTCGGCTACTGCAAGTAATCCCAAAGTCGTCGCCATCTTAGAACTTAACATGCAACTGTTCAGGTATGGACTTTGATCGTATGACTGCTCATATCATTGACTACGCTGCAGTGTGCTGACAGCATTCCAAGCTCGTGGTATCCCGACGGACAACCCACTCCATCAAGAGTAGGTATTACTAGCGCTGTCTATTCATTTTAGCTACTTATCATGGTTCTAGGTACTGTGCTCACTTACAGTCAAACCTCTCGTGGCTTGCTGCCGCTGCGGACGACAATCCCAAAGCTGTATGTCTTGCAGGGCGTGATTCTGCAATATGTAATCTGATCTCATTGGTCACAGAGCCAGGGCATGTGGCCGCTACCAAAACTACAGCCTCCAACAGCCGTCGATTTTGTCCCAATGGATCGAATACATCAGCTGTACCGAGAGTTAGCGTCGATTTTCGCGAAAGACCTTGCTCGTCGAGAACAGCGTTCACAACCAGCCAGCGTGTTGCCTCCAACTGATTTATTGAACGGAAAATTGAAACGAGATCGACCCGACGAATTAATCTCGGTCCCGGACTTGTCTAACAAGCGCCGCGATACTGGAGACACCAAGATTCCAACGCCGATTGCTCCTGCTCCTTCGCTATCACACTCCGCGACCGGATCGATTACTCTCAATCCGGTACCTAGTGCGGCTAGTTCCAATGTTGGAATGACGTCCATGCAGGGAATGCCGCCCACTCAGATGGGTAGTCCTTCCATGCCACCGCCTTCGTTGCCTATTGGGGTGATGGGCAGTACTGGTGAAGCTCAACTCAACGCAGCACGCCTCCGCCAGATGCAGGCGCGATCGGGAATGCATGCAGACCCTAACCGGCAGATGTCCCCGCCAGCGGTGCCCCAAACGCCTATTCTGGCTATGCAGAATGTAGCTGGTCCTTCGTCTTCCCCACTGGTACCGCAGCTAAGTCAGGGACAGCTCGCGGCAGTGACTAGTATGGGACCCGCTGCAATGCAACATCTACAAACGCTGCAAAACCCGAGCCACCCTCTCGTGCAATATCTGATCCAGCAAGTTCCTGGCTTCACGTCGCTGCCTCTTCCGCAACAGCTTCAGCATGTCAGCAGGGCACAGGTCGGTCCTAATTTTTGTTCCAACAATTTAGGTACTCACAGATGATCCAGGCGCTTCTACAGCAGCGTCAACGGGCGGCGCAACAGCAGGCTGGAGGTTCTACGCAGAACTTTATGCAGCCTAATATGCAATCCATGTCAAATACTGGGATGTCCTCGGGCCAGATCACCCAAAGCAGTCCCACCAGGGTATCTCCAATTGCGCAACAGCAGTCTCCTATGCAAGGATCTTCCGCCAACAGTTTCCCGTTTCCGAACCATGGACCCAATTCCGGTGCCGACTCCCGAGTACAGGGCGTCCCACAGGCTACGTTTAACCAGCTCACACCACAGCAGCGGCAACTTCTATTAATGCAACAACAGCAGATGATGCGTGGCGGGAACACGTCGAATGCTAGCATGATGAATCCACAGATGCTCGCTGCAGCGCAAGAGCAGATGCGTCGGGAGCAGCAGCTCATGGCGCAGATGAACATGTCACAAAATACCGGATCGCCTATACCCGGCGGTGTTGATGGCAGTCAATTTCCCGCTCTCCGTTCAAATCCGCCAGTGCCTGGGATTGCGAGAAGTACGAGGACGCCATCGGACTCTGCGCCGTCACCGGGAGTGTCACAGCGGATTTCTGGCCACTCACCTGACGACCTCCAGCGCGCGATGATGATGCAGCAGGCTCAACAGCGCGGTATAGCGCCTCAGATGCAGCAGGGCTCTGGGTTCCCACAGATGAACTGGTCGCAGGGAAACCAGTCGCAAATGGCGCAGATCGCCGCGCACCGGCAAGGGTCATATGGGATGACTCCGCCAAACAGCGCAGGAGCGACGCAGGTCGGATTCGGTGGGATGCAAGGTGCGCCCTCGCCCGCTCAAGGAGGGGCCCAGAATCAGTGGCAACAAAACACCGGCAACGGGCAGTTCCCCTTTGTCGCCCAGTCGCCAGTGGCAACCCAGCATCTTTCTGATCCCTCCATGACTCCGCGGCAGGCGTCCGCGACTCCAGTCCAGCAGATGGCGCAAAACAGCCCTGGGGGCGATCCGATGAATGACTTTGATCTGTTTACTAATTGGAGGCAGTAGCCTCGGTTATATAAAGGTGGGCTGGCGTGGCTTGTGGTCTTCGTTAACTGTCTCGCTGCTGGGCGGGCTGCATACCGTACATATGATGTCTTTTTTGATTCATTCGTGACCCTATTGTTTTGATTTCCGCAAATAGTTTCTGCAGTCGTCCGGTATAATATATGTATCGTAGGGAGACTGATTGCTATCGCAATGTTATTGATATGTAGCTGTTGTACGTCGAAAATCTGGCATAGCCACTACATAAACGGCAGTGTGACAGGTTGATTGTTCTGCATTGTTGTGGCCCTTCACGAGTCCTAGGTCCGTGTAAAGTAAAAGATTTGGGTTGCTGGGCGCCAACCGAGTCAAAGCATAAGAGTTGCGGCCTCAGAATCACCGCTATTTTAGCCGGCGCAAAGGTCGCTTTCGCGCGGAGGCTCTGCAGGTGGCACGTCTAGTTTCTCCACGCTCAAAGTGAAAGGACATGGTATTTGCAAACATATCGACGCACGAGAAAGATGCGTTCTTCTCTCTGCTAGACGAGTTGAGTACCCTCGACTCCATCACACGCGCAAGAAGCCCCTGACACCCAGCTTGTATCCGCTGCAGATACTTTGCCTCCCGCCCTGAAATCTTTGGAAATAGCATCAATGCAGATGCAGGAAGAGCGGCGGCGACGTCCGCTTTTAACGCATTCAGCAAGACGAATCCACAAGAAGCGGCGTCGACGATCAATGGCTTAAGGAAAGCGATCCCTGCTGCGTCGCCTGTGAGCATCTGTTGTTATGTGATGTGTCTACGTGCCGTTAACACCACTTAGGGATCAAATACTTCTAATGAAGATGTAGCCAGCTCCGCCGGACGTGTTGCGGCTGCGGCTGCGGCGTTCCGTACATCGAATTCAGCTGCGCCGCGAGCACCTCCTCGCAGAGATGGTAGCTCAGACGATCACTTACCTACGCAGAGAGTCGGTGCTGCGTTTTCCGGATTTATGTGCTAAGCTAACGCGCTCCTCGCCCATCGGCGCATATTGTGCCCATAGAAATTTGGCGATGTAGATGTTTCATCTGGGAAGGCGATGTTCTCGTCTCTGCGCAACTCTACTGCGAATAAGGCTGCTACGCCCCCGCAAGTCGCCCCTCCCACGCCGTCTGCATTCGGCGCGAAGAAGAATGCGTTTGCGCCGCCGCCTTCCAGAACATCGGCCGCGAACAAGACGCCTTCTCCGCCACCACCTCCAGCGCCCCCAGCGCGACCTCAACGTGAAGACGCAGTCGAAGGGGAGTGGGCGGAAGCATTGTATGATTATTCAAGCGACGTAGGTGTTCTTTTGCGTTTGACAGGTTCTGGAGCTGATGGATGAGCAGGACCCCGGCGATCTGACTATTCAAGAGGGCCAGAGGCTTGTGATTGTAGAAAAGTCTTCAGACGATTGGTGTGTGACTTACTGCTATTATTTGGATAGGGTATTGAGCAGGTCTATCACAGGTGGACTGGCGAAGTCGATGGCAGGAGGGGTCTTGTACCCGCCACCTATGTCAAAATGCTTTGATTGACTCTGGACACAAAATACCCTTCTACTGCATAAAGGTATCGATGAATGTTGCTCGAACATTATGTATCTCTACTGTATCAATGTCAACTAGGCGAAACAGCGATGTGCGACACGTGAGGATGTGTCTCCTCCGATCTCTCTGGCCTCATCGTCGCAGGTCAGCCTGCGGTCAGCCCCGCCGCAATCGAAACGGAGCGGATGAGAGGGCGGGCTCTGGATTGCGTTCATCCTCTGCCTTCACGCCTTGCTGTTGTTGCAGTGCTTTTTCAATTGTGTTTTTCTGCTTCATATCTTCAGACCCACCGCTGGACGTGATCGAGCACTTGGACACGACGCGTCTGTTTGTTTGGTTCAAGTCACGGTATAAAGCACCGTCGCCCTCGCGTCCCCCTTGCGCTCCATCCGCTTTCTCTTTTTCTCTTTTTGTCCCTCGACGGGGCACCCCACCTCTAAAATACCCCACACTCTCTCATAATCAGATATGTCTCTAGATCGTCGTCATCCTGCTTCTCTGCTCCCCAGATCCATGCACGACCCCGAACTCGTCGACCTCATGCGCCAGCCCGTCTCGTACGACATGATCTGCTACATTGCCCTCCAGGCCACGCGGGTCATCCGCCTGGGGGAAGAGTCCGCTGCCCTCCCGACGCCTCCGCACACGCCGCAAAAGACGACGTTCAACGAGGGCGAGCGACTCCAGGCACAGCCCCCTACGCCAGCCCTGCCATCGCTCCAGGACTTTATTATCATGATTGTGCAATCCTCCAATGTGCAGGTCCCCACTCTTCTGACCACGCTCATCTACCTCGAGCGTCTCAGGACAAAATTGCCCAAAATGGCCAAGGGTAGGTTCGGTTTGCCTCGCATCGGTCCCGAACTCACTTATTCACAGGTATGCCCTGTACGAGACACCGCGTCTTCCTAGCGACACTCATCGTGGCAGCCAAGTATCTGAACGATTCATCGCCGAAGAACAAATGCTGGGGCGCATATGCTACCTTGTTCGACCTTGCGGAGATCAACCTCATGGAGAAGCAGCTTCTATACCTGCTGGACTACGACCTGCGGTTCGATGAGGCTGAGGCCATCTTACGCTTTGCTTCATTCATGCCGAAGCTCTCTTCGAACAGTGTCGCTTCCGCGAAAGAGGCCCGTGCCACCGCTGTCAACCGCGCCAAGGCTCGCGTGCAAGCGCATGTCGCGCTGCCTCCAACGCCACCACACGATGCTGGTACTGCTCCTCTTCCGTCTCCCGTTGGATCTATGTCTGGTGTTCAGCGGCTAATGAAGCGCATCTCGGCTCAGTATCTGAATGTCCCTGCAGCTCCTGACGACAGCCCCCGCCCTAGACCTGTAACGCGAGAGACATCGGGCAGCAGCAGCTCTGATCATTCTAGCACTAGTGGCGATTCTGAGACTGGCTCTCTGACTTCTGACAGCGGTTCATCTGCTCCCACATCCCCGGCGTCGTCTGTGTGCGATGTTGAGATCAAGGATGCTAACGAGCTTGTAGACAAGAAATTTACTTTGCAGTCTGTGCCCTCGCGTGCATTCAGGCAGGCAAGAAAAAGCTCGACGGCTTCTACTTGTACCATCAGGTCGGATGCGACTGTCTCTGAGTTCAAGAAGGCTTCTACCCTCGGCAACACCTCTCATGCTCCTGAGGTTTCTCCCTCTCTTGTAGAAGATGATATGCATGCATTCGATGTGAAACCTAGCTTAGGTATCTGCCCTGTACGAGCCAACACCTTACCGCTTGGGCAGCCAATGCAAGCTTCTATGACCCCGAGTGCAACGATGCCTTCTATTTCGCGCAATGCCTCCGACATGAGCGCACCCTCTGGCGGCTTCCTCAGCAGGATGTTCGGTTCTACAAGCAAGGGACAGGAGAAGGACAAGGCAGAAAAGGAAGGGTCAGAGGTCATGGAAGCTACAGTAGAGCCTCATGGTGTCAGCAGTGCCTTTCGTCGGCTCGCACACTCTAAGTCTGCCTTGTTCCGCACCCAGGCCCAAGCTGCCCAGACGTCCTGCTCCTAGAGCTTTGCGTCGACCATACCGAGCGTGATGACGATCTACCACACAAAAATCCCCCTCCGCTCTTTAAATACCCTTCCTGTCTTTTATTACGGATTTGGATGCTTCGTTGATTTGTTTTGTTGACTTCTCGGATTTGCCGGACAATCTAGCTCGCCTTCCTTCGCCCACATTGCACCAGTGCGTTCTCATATTTATCTTGATTAATATGGATACTTGTACACCCCCAGCTACACATACCTTGCTGCGGACTCTTGATGAGCTCATATAGACATCTCCACGTAGCCCTAGAGCCCCTGTCTCTCTCGCTCGCCAGTTTTTCTGGCCCATGTTCCGTAAAGCCCAGGCACTTCTAGATATATGCCGTGTGCAATTGTATTGTAGCATAGCCATCTAGCAATTACAGCCATGATATAAATCTCTACAGGACGCGCCGCGCGTGACATGACGCGTCTTGTGCGGCATGCTCTCCCCGTGTGCTGGTGATACGTGTACTAGACGTGTACATGCCCCGGACACGCACTGGGGCTGGAATGGACTCTGAACCCGTAGGCGGCTCTAAATAGCGACCACTGCGGTGAGGACGGCCATTATAGAGCGAGGTACGTGCAAGCCGTACTCATCACTCCCTAGCTTTGTTCCACCTGCTGGTGATGAGTCTCATCTTTTCGATCATCTCACCAAGCACTGATGAGCTCGTCGTCCTTGGGTGTCTTGCAAGACATCTCGTTCTCCTTCCTCTTTGAGTGGATATCCACATTGTCGTTGGTTTTTGGAGGATGCTGCAGGTCCGTGTTGGTTGTGCACGATGTATCGTCTTTATCTCGCTAATGTACATGTGCTTTCTTCGCCAGTAATGCTCTCGCACTAGAGCAGCTCACGAGCCAATACTCGAATTCGGGCACTCTGTTGACATTCTGCCAATTTCTACTCGTCTCGCTGTACGGGCTGCCCAAGTTTGTCACCCTGAAGCCCTACCCGCGTCTCAAGCCCCGTCGGCTACCCATATTACCCTACCTTGTGCAGGTGCTGCTATTCTATGGTATATCTCTTCTGAATAATGCCGCATTCGCCTACGCAATACCCATGCCCGTGCACATAATATTTCGAAGCGGTGGATTAGTGATCAGCATGGTGCTGAACTGGCTACTTATGGGCCGGAGGTACATCAATGATTGTTCTGAGTGGGATTTGCGCGCTGACAAGTACTTCTGGACACGTAGATACACCCTTATGCAGGTGCTATCGGTGCTCATGGTCACGGCAGGCGTCATTCTGACCACCGTATCTGCCTCGGGTTCTAAACCTCGTTCCGCCATCTCCAAGGCGAGACCCGGACATGAGAGTGATTCATCGCTTGCATATGCGACGGGGATCGCCATCCTGACTCTGGCCCTCCTTCTTGGTGGTCTTCTTGGGATCGTCAGTGATAAGACGCGCGAGATGTATCCTGCAACCACGCCAGAGAAGAGCGCCGGTCAGGCAAAGGGAGATAGCCTGAATAAGACTGCTCCTTGGGAGGAGTCCATGTTCTACTTGCACTTCCTCGCCATGCCCATGTTTCTCTTTGTTCGCAAAGACCTGGTTTCCCAGTTCCGAGCCATCAATGCGGGTCCCAGGATGGAGATCCCCCTCCCCCTTCCTCTCAGACATCTGAACTCTACAGTCCTCCTGTCGCCCCTAGCTGAACCCCACGCATCTAGTTCCTCCGACGGGCTGTCCATTCCAGCGGCATACCCCCCGCTCCTGCTCAACTCCATCACTCAACTTTTCTGTATTGCCGGTGTCCACCGCCTCACGACGCGCGTCTCATCACTCACTGTCACCCTCGTCCTTGTGATCCGCAAAGCGGTGTCGCTTGTTATCAGCGTACTGCTTTTCAGTGCGGCCGGGCGTGCGGCAGCTCAAGATAGGCAGCTGGAGATGTGGGCGGGTGCACTGTTGGTTTTCATGGGCACAGTTGGCTATTCTCTTGGGACAGGCCAGAAGACATCTATCAAAGACAAGACGAAAACGGAGTAATTCTCATACCTGTCGTCATGGTGTATGTGACCGCGGCGAAGATTTTTTGGGAGTTAATGTGCTATCTTATTCTGCCAGGTTTTTGACCATATTCGACATCTGTATTATACGCAGGACAAGATATGTATAGAGTGCACAAGTCGTGCTGACCCATACATCTATATCGTGACTGTACACTAGGGATGCTGATGCTAACAAGTCTGTGGAAACCAAAATATTATGACATTGAAACAACACATTATGACAGCAGTGAGCGATGGAGAGGCTGAACGTTAACAGTGGTATCGGGATAGGAATAACTCGCGAACGATGTAATGGTAGGGCGTGTGTCAGGGCTTAACTCGTTAGGAAATCATACGACGCTCGGACATTACTGTCGACCATTGCTGCAAGTCAATCAGTGCTTTGCAGCTTCCGTCAATGGGTGAATTTAAGAACGCATTGAAACAGTGACGGGAGGGGCAACGTCCTTGCAACATTACAATTAAAGATAATTATCACTACGCACACAATATTGTCGCTACGTCCGGCTCTCATTCCTGTCCAGTGGCGATGTTCCAGGTCTTCTTGAAGAGACCTACCGCAGGATCTGAGGCTGGACCAACTTTGCTGAGCGAGGCTTCCGCTAGAGTGTTGACATAATTTCGAAGATACGGGGAGTACTGAGGAAACGTTGGTTCAGTTGCGGAATTTGCGCATACAGACAACTAGGTCCTACCATTCTGCTAAAATGCCGGAACCAGCACCATGTCTCCCATGTCTCCCATTCAATCTCATCCCAATTGGCACGATTATGCCATGCATTCTCTGTGATGACCTTACGCGCATGGGGGTTTGGTTTGTCTTCCGCGACGAGATAACCGACGAAGCCGTCGAGAGTACGGGACAGCGCCGCCTTTTGTTCTCGAGTGAGTGTAGTGAAAGCCTTCAATGCTGTCGTGAGAGCGGGTGATTCTGCGGCAGGAATAACGTTTGCTAGGTAGGGGAGGAATTAGCATATGTCCACGAAGAGGCAATACTCCAAACCTTGCTTCCCCTCAGCATCAACCTCCATGGTCGCGCTGTCGCTGGCTTTTGCTCTTGCTGCATTGTCATCTTCCTCCTTCCTAAGGGCTGTGACTTTTCTGCGAGCTATCATGACTCGACCATTTGCCTTGTCAAGGGCACCCTTCAAAACATCCCACTGGAAAGCATCGAAAGAAACCTTTCCAATAGATGCATCAGAAGAGCCACCATATATAAAAGCCCATGAAACAACGTCGGTGGGGTCAACAATCTGATATTGCATCAGCTTGTCGAAGACAATGACAACCATGTGCCTGCTTCGTTTCCAGAAGGCGGAGACGGCGTTCAAGATGTCATATCGAGCCTCGGGGATCGCGATCCCGACACCGCCTGGAATACTACTGGACGTCAAGTGACGGAGCATGGGAAGGTACCGTTCGATGGCATTGAGGAAATGTGAGAATGATCGTGAGCCAATGTGCAAAAGGGACTGCATGGCTACGGAACGAAGTACAGTGTCGACATGTACGTCGCCCTCAGCTGTTTCCGAAATAGTGTTTTTCAGTGAATCTAGATGTCCAATAACATCCTCAGCCTTGGCGCGTCCGCGAAGAAGGTTCAAAACCGACTGGGCCGCATCATGGTACGGCCTGGCTACTTGGAGTGAGTAAAGAGACGACACATGAAGAAGCTGGCTTACTGGGATCGTCATAGTCGTAATCAGGGCCAGGTGCCTCCTCCGGCATCAAAGAGGCATTGGGATCTTGCATAGGCTCAGGTAGAGTCTTCAAAATCCGGTCATAATATGACAGCCGAATCTCGAATTCGATCGCTCTACGCATGAAAATCCGCTTCGGATGTCGAATGGACAATGAAACATCAGGTAACCTAATGGCGATGGAAACATCCGAGTTTGCACGCTGCCATTGAATATGCAATCAAACGTACCATTCCTTCCAAACCCATTGGAAACCGAAGTTGCTCATATGGACCGCGAACCACTCGGCTAAGCGGCGAGAAAGGTCAACATCGAGACCGTCCGCTAATAGAGAGTATAGCTTTCGGATCGACTTGCCAACAGCTGGACCAACGGTGGTAGGAGACAATTTACACAGTTCCGTGATTAAAGCGAAATAATAAACTGGCTTGTGAGCTGATTCAGGGATGAGGAATACCGAACCCAAGATGACCTGCATGATATCTCTTAGCAAACATTCTGCAGATGGAAGTCAACAAGTACCTCAATAACTGTGCTCTCTAGCTGCCAGTCCTTGCCGGCCAGAGGCTCCTGAGGCGGAGCACCAGGCCTTGGTTTGAACGTGCCAGGTAAAGTCCATTTGGGAAACTCCAAGAGTAACCGTGCACATTCCTTGCGGTTGACCTCGAATATATCAATCAGATCAAGAATACTGGATCTTATGGCATATCCGACAGGAGTGGTGGGGTCTGGTGTAATCTGATCGACGAGGTAAATCAGTCCAGATATCTGGAGTCAAATACATCACGAGAATCACATACGTCGTTGTCGAAGAGCTGGACGTAGTACTGCGGCCATTCCTCTTTTTTGATTTGTGCATCCTCGCCAGAATCTGTAGTCAGCCCATCTAACTCAATTACTTCCGGAGGAACCAGAACGGAAGGGAGATCAAATAGCGACCCAGTGTATTCAGGTAGCTCCAGATAAGGCTGTGGGAAGCTGTCAGCTGTCTGAGAGAAGTCGTCGGTCTTAAATATTCTCAGTGCGGCAAGAGCAGAGTCTAGCAGCTAATATGTGACTTGATTAGCTTGCCTGATACTATAAGCGTATAAAGCACGAACCTCATCCGCGTGCTCAATGACAGGTGCTTCCGCGTCCAATCTAGCAATGGGTTGAACAAGAACCTTGGACCCTACGACAGAATCCGTGTAGGCCGCGATAGCATTGATTATTTCGGAAGCATCTGTATCATTCTCTTGCTTGAATATAGGACCAGCCTAACGGTATATGAATTATGTAAGGGCGTTGCCTTAACAAGTTATGCATTATGACGCACCATCATGAGTCCCTCCGCAGCGCAGAGTGCAGCCTTCATCGCCCGACCATGCGATGCGCTGAATTCTTCGAGCACAGCAGTGAATGATTTCAAGAGCTCAAACATCGACTGCGGAGAGACTAGTCTTGCCATTGTTAAATGCGCAAAGAAATGTATCTGATCGCATATACTTAGCTTCTAAATAGTGCAGACGAGGCAAGCGTACTCACACAAAGACGTATCTCCCTCCACGCCAATTTATCCAGAAATGCTTGGAAGGCTTTCCAGTAATCCTCCAAAACTTGCTTCCCCAACGTGGTGCTACCGCCTGTTGCTGCTTCCTCCGAAGCATCTGGTGGCGGATCGTGCAGAAGACGGAGAAGAGCCGCATAAAAGGGAACCTTAAATGGTTGTTCGGTAACACTAGAGAAAGCCGTTACGGAGGAAATTCAGAGGACAAAACAAATCACATACCCTATTCGAAAGCCCTCCGAAACCGCGGGGATACTAAGGGACGCTTGTTCATATATCTCTTTTGCTAGACGGGGCAGTTCTTGTACAGGGTCCTACAGAGGGAGCTGATGTAACCTCGTCCTCGGACTTGTGGAAAAGAACTTACCACCTCCCCCAGGTTGATGATGCTCTTCCTGAGTTTTTGTTCTGGAGTTTCATACATTTCTTTGCGGCGGTCATTGTCGTAGTCGTCACCACCTAACGGAGCAGTTCAAGCACGTCGGCCCCTTTCACAACTCTCAGCAGTTCTCACCTCGGTAGTGCTTTCTGCGGTGACCACCGTGATAATTCATCCCTACGAAAGCAATTCGATGCTGGACTGACAGCGAACTAAACCTTCGACTGCTCGTCTTCAGCGACCTCGGAGTAAGCTCGCAGGCGATTTATGAACAACGACTACTCTCCCACGGTAATCATGGATCCCGGACTTTGGCCATGGCTTGGTTTATATTTGTATTCGCTATTGGTTTTGTATCGTCCTTCAAGTATGAGAGGCTCAGCATTCCGCAAGAGAGCATATACGACGTGTGCATCAAGTGAGATATAAAATGTGAGGCCAGGCCCTCCGGTTGAGTATCTCCTCACTGGAGAGCACGACTCAGCAGTGGCTCGGACGTTGCCGGCGACTATTGCGCCGGGCCTCGATGGCTCGCTGCAACGTCGACATTGCTGCAGCGTTCAGCCTCAGGGACTCGTCCCTCTGCTAGACCTCTTAGGCTGAACTGGTGAGTATACACGACGCTTTGAAAGGATCACTCTGATTCTGGTACAGTTATGCGAGACACATGCAATGCACTTGGTCGACCACGGCCAATGTCTTCCTGCGGACTGTCCGCTCTCGAAACGCTGGACTTCTGGCCAAACGGCCTGAGGCACGAACGATGGCGCACCTCGTACGAAATCCCCATACTAATATCGCTGTCGACCGGGACTACAGTCCATGCATTAGCGGACGCGCTTCTCTGTCGACTTCCAGCGCAAACTATGAATCCCCTGCAATCGCATCAAGGCCCCCGCGTTCAACACCCGAGCATCCGCTACTGTCGCCCTCATCGTCTGAGGGCAGGCTCTCCTCTTTGTCATTGACGGCGGCCCAAATCTCGCGCGCCTCGGCGCAGGCTGTCCGTTTATGTGCGCGAGATGGGAAGTTCGGGGATGCGTTGTATCTTGTCAATTCTCTTCGTTCTTCTACCAATCAGGATGATGTACTGGTTGAAGAGAAGCAAAATTTGCACCACTCGAAGTCGCGCACAGTTGCTCATATGAAGCCTATCGACTTTGGCCAGGTTGTTTCCGCTCGTTTGTCTGCTCACTCGTTTCTTCATGGGCTGGTCCGTGCGGGCTACAGTAAAAAAGCAGCGAGATATGCGGAGATGATGATGGAACACGGCATTCGCATACGGGAAACTACGACCAATACTATCATTGTTTCACTCTCATCCAACCTAGCGACATCTCTGAATGGCAATCTGTTGGCCAACACCGTCCGTCGTCCTCGTATCAGAGATGGGCCTGAAGTACTGGAATTGCGAGAGATGGTAATTGGAGATCGGTGCACAAGAGCGGCTGTTCAACTGCTTGGAAAGGCGCGTATGTGGGGTCAATGTCGCTCTCAGAGGATGTACGACAACGCAATCAGCGGCTGCCTCATGCAGGGCGAGATTATTGTCGCGTCGTTGCTATTTGTGCTTCTGGTGAAGGATTGGCAGCTCCGGCAGTCCCTCGCTAAGAGCCTCGGGTCAGACGCTGCTGAGGAAGAACCATTCACTTCTCCAATCACGCAGCGCCATATTCCTAGGATACCCCGTGAAGATCGGATGCAACTGCCCTACCCTTCGATCCAGATGATGTCAACCATTTTGAATGCGGTAAAGGAGTCGTTATCCCGAGACCCACAAGACAGCCCTGGCCATGATCCGCAGTCTTCACTTCAGGCTCTGGCCAATCTCGCAATACTATTGGATACCGGGCAGCTACACACCGGCTCCATAGCTGCGCTCATCCATGCACTGTACTCCTGTCCTAAAGGCGACCATCTGATTTGGATAAGAGAGCGAGAACAAGCCCGCCCGAAACGCGTCAAGGCCTATCCGTATTTTCAGAGAGTCTTGATGCGCCTAATAGATTCTCTGTACGACCCTGCCGTGGTCGCATCACGCCTGCGTCTCGATTTAAGATCCTATAACGCACTGTTATTCTACTCCCTTCGGCATCGTCTTTCGTCTACTCTTGCTTCGCGAGTCCTGGACCATATGTGTATGCATCGGAATCCCCCTCTACAGCCCAACATTGTCACTTACAACATTCTACTGCGTTCTGGGACATTGGTGCGAAGGATGGATTTGTCGGAGACAGCGTTGGCTGCGCTTAGGGCTCACAAGTTGAATGCCTCTCATGGAATCATGGTTGAGGCAGACCAGTCCCAATTGAAACCAAAAAGAGTCTCGAAAACAGTACTTGTCAGTGGACCTTTGGGCTTTTCTACTACGTTACACCAGCTCCAGAATGCTCCGTTCCATGTACCGGCCTTGCTTCAGAAACCGTCCAACGACGTCGCTGCAGATGCATTTACGCTCGGGAGCTACATCATGCATCTGACCTCTACAGGATCTCCCGAGGTCGTCGCTGACATACTTTTTTTTATTCTACCCGAGTTGCGCACCGTGAGTCATCCCTCGTGGGGCGCGCTCACTCCCGAGCAGCGTGATGCCATCCGGTACGAATCTCGAGAAGCCTCCCTGCGTCGTGCCGTCCAGCTTGGCCCTCATGTCTTTGCCGCCCTCATCAACTCCCTCGCGAAGGCGGGAAAGCCTGGCCTTGCTGAACGAGTGTGGCTCCTGGCAAAGCAAGGCGAAGCTGCCAGCTGGATACCAAATTTCGCACCTGAATTCTCTCCATGGTATCTGCCCGTACATGCTTATACTTCCATGCTGCAGTGTTATGCAAAGCAGGCTCGGAGGGCATCGTCAATATTACGTTGTGGGCAGAATCGCGCCATGCACTCTCTTATGGAGAATCCGGGTGACTGGAAGCCTGGGTCGCGCCCTGTTCGTGGCTGGGCTGGTTTTGTCCATGCAACACGGCAGGCGCAGACAGGGAAGGTGACAAGGAGAACTCGATCAGGAGAAAGAGCAGCATTGATTCTCTATGGATCTATGCAGTCCGGTGGGGAAGCTGTCTACTCGTCATTGTTAGCTCTTCACCAGAGAGCCCAAGAGCCATCATCTCACGTCGTCGTCCCTTCACCGGATGCCCGATTTTTCAATGCGGCTCTCGAACTTTTCGGACATCATCCACACAGGCCCTCTCGCGCTAAACGCAGAAGTCGTTCTTCGTGGAGGCATGCATTGCGGATCGCGACAACTCGATATGAACATGAGGGTATAGTGTCGCCATTATGGAACAAAGCACTGCAGCAAGTTATGGAGGGTATGGTTGCAGCCGGCTTTGACATACCGATTGGATATCGTAATCTGTCAATCGGTCACTGGATATCGAGCGCGCAACGTCCAGAACACACCCCGCAAACTTTGACTCGTCGGCCCTATGCCTTCCCACCAGTACGACGCCGTTTCCTTCCTCACTCGCTCTCAATCGCCAAAACCCGTGGTCTCCCCGTGCGTCCCCCACACCGTGTGCATCGTCGTCAGGCCTGGAGATGATTGTATTATACTTCCACTGTATAATTAGCATCAATGAATAATATCATTCGGAGGCCTTCTGGGCTACAAAGCGGGCTTTGTCCTTCAAACGTTGCCTCTCTTTCTTCGTCGGTTCCGCAGACGTGGCTGATGGCGCGCTTGTAGGACGGGTAAGACCTTGGAGGTACACGACGGTGGTGTGTTTAGTCACATCTCGTGCCTTCCACTCCTCGCCCGTCTCCGCCAAAAATCGGGCGCTCTCCTGCACACGCGCCGCCATCTCCTCCGGGGAAAGCGAGGGCTGGTCTTTCCTCGTCGCAAATACTAGATTCACTCTATTTCCCCTCTCCAGCTCTTCTTGCGCCTTCTTCAACTTGTGTTCGAGGTCATTCTCTGAGACACCCCACGTTACTTGGACTTCTTTCTCCTCCCGCGGCTTGTTCTGTCTCTTCTTGTCCTGAATTGCTTTGAGCCTATTGTAGAGTATATTACTCTTTATGATTTTCACTATGGGATCTGGGTCTGTAGCGACGAGCTCCACCCACTCTCGCTTCTGTTCGAGTCCGGCGATGATGTTGGCCAGTGGTTGTGGTTCCGAAAGGCGGGCAGTTTCCGGATCGACCAGTCTGACAACACGGAAGGGAATGTCATTGTTACGTGGGTGACCTTTCTCCTTCTGCTTTGAATTTGCCCTCGCCTTCGCATACGCGAGGGCAGTGTTGTGGAAAGAGACGGCTCCTGATGAGGACCCTGCGTGACACAAGTAAAGCTGTTGAATGCGTTGGCGCAAGGGAGTCCGCGACCACGCCCGCAACATTAAATGACGCACGACGCTGATTTCTCTGCCGCAGAATGTCAGCACGCACAGGCAAGATTAGTACATACAACATCTTACCGCCCTATAGGCTACCACCGGTGATTTAGATGCTGCTGCATGGCAAATGTACTTTAGAACATGGGTCTGTGTACGCATATTTGTGCACATTCCACTTCTGGGATTTATATTCAACGCCCGGAATTTCCCGGGTGGATTGAATGATGTTCACACTCATAAGCTTGTTGATTGCGAAAGCTTGTGTAGATCAATCCAACAACGTCTACATTAGCGCAATTTATACACATTCATCTCAACTTCATTGATGAAAACACCAAGTCAGACGTATCTGACCTAGAACTATAGCGTGCTCCTAACACTTCAAATTTGATGTATGGAGACGTGAACGTCCTTAGAAGTGAACACGTGAACACATTTGATCAGCTCTTAATTACCCAAAGGTCTTTCCACAAGCCCTAAAGACTGTGCTATAAAACCGAGCTTATCTGCAGCCTCCGCGATCCTGTAGACGATAAGCAAGGCATTGACTGTGACGTATCACCATATAGTATCGTGAGACGTACCTTTTCTCTGTTGACTTCCCTGCACCATGGCCTGCCTTCTTGTCGATCCAGATAAGTAATGGATCGGGGTTGTGGGGCAGGAGGTGTTGGAGGGTCGCGGCATACTTGAAGGAATGCAAAGGTACGACCCTGTCATCGTCTGCAGATAAAAGGAATAAACGCTATGAAGGGCTTTCTGTCGATACCACTTACGATCAGCAGTCATTAAGAGGGTCGGAGGGAAAGCCTTGTTTGAGGGAACGGTATGCAGCGGAGATATAGGGTAGATGAAGTCGAAGTCCTTCGGATCATGCGGATCACCGTAATCAGACGTCCACGCTCGTCCTGACAATATATGTGCTGATTGAGCTAACGAAATCAATCGGAAGCTGCTGTGGCGTACCAATAGTGAAGTCAGCAAACTAACACGAAGTTGCATTATTAGTCTATCCATGGTTGACGATGGAAGCGTGTAGAAGTATCACCTTTAGCAAATCGAGAACACCGACTGAAGCGACTCCGGCCCCCAGTAGACCCTCTGGCGCCCGATTGAGACAGGCTGCCACGAGCAGACCTGCGCATGATGCGATGATTAAGTAGATACCTGATTACAGGACGTCAAAGCGTACCGCCGTTCGATGCCCCAGTAATCGCTATTTTGCCGCGAGCGGTGTATTTGTTCTTGACAAGATACTCCCTTCAATTCCAGTGCTCAACAAGAAGAAAGCTCAGAGTTCTGAGCCACCTACGATGCAGCAATGTAATCATCGAAACAATTAGCCTGAGCGGTCAAAATTCCATCAGACGATATTGACTATGTCGGCCAGTATAATGAGTAGATACGGACCTTGCGCTCTCTTGTTCCTGCCAAGTGCCACTCTTCTCCAAATTCACTCCCGCCCCTAATGTTAGGTACAGCCAGAATGGCTCCGTATTTTTGCAGATAAGTTAATATAGCCGAGCTCCAGAACGGGGCTACAGCAATGGAAAATCCACCGTAGCCTGAGGCAGGGCTACGTATTCGTTTCAATAGTTAAAGTGCGAGCACCTTGAGCACCCACCATATTGAAGTACGGAAGCGCTCCCATCGAGCTTTGTGCTTTTGTGACGGACGATGAACATCGGAACCTTTGTCCCATCCTTGCTTTCATACCAGACCTATGTGTACGTTGAGAGTCATAACTGTACTGATTAGATATAAGCTCACCTGTTCCGCATTGAAGTCGTCCGTCTGCAGACCCGTCACCAGAGTCTTCCTAGATATACTCCACCGCTGTCCCTCCTTCTCGGAGAAGTCATATCTGCCTACGAGCCCCGGGTTAGTGAATCCGACCATAGTAGCGAAGAATGAGGGGTGGTGACGACGGCCAGACAGTTGGATGCTGCCAACAAAATCGGAAGCTACGCGTGTTAGTCGTTTCCCCGACATGTCGTGGATATAGACTTCATCGATGACCTATGCATCAGATATATGGGTTAGTATGTATACTTATATGATAGTTGAACACTGCTTACATTGCGCTTGTGCACCACGACAAGATACTCCTTGTTTACGGCAAGGATATCTTCTAGATGCGCATCCTTGTCTTCCGGAATTACGTCGTGGAATACGCGCTTTTCCGGCGGGTCAGCTAGGTCAACGGAGACGAGTTTGTATAGAGGAGCGTCTTTGTTGGTGAGTAGGTACAACTTTGTGCCGTCATTCGCAATGCTGCCGGGGCGAATGTCTCAATATCATTCAATCATCCGAGAGAACGTATGCGACATACTACTGATAAGATGCCTCGAAATCGTCGATCAATTTGTCCCATTGCATATTTTGACCAATAGTACCGGCCTCAAGGTCTGCAATCCACAGAAGGTTTTTCTAAGCAATCGGCGTTGATTAGAGCCAAGAAGACTTTGGATATTCATGCTCACGTACCCTGGCGGTGTCACGGCGGACCGACATCAAAGCGTAGCGTCCATCTTCTTCTGTGACCTCAATATTCCACATCCATTCCGGGTGCGATTCATCTTTGTAGACCAGAACGTCCTCGGCTGAATAGCATATGATCAGAATACAGGGCCTCTCATCAATAACATCTCACGAAACAAGATGACCCTGCAAATTACTAATCAACATACCCTGATTGGTGCCAACGCGATGGTAGTATAGCATAGCATTCGTATCGCTTTCTGTTTCCGTCCCGGCGACGTCGTCATTCGCTGAGCCATGGGACTCTCGAGAAGGGAACCGCTGAAGTAAGTATATAGACGTGTGAATATATAATGTATGCAGTGGAACTGTATGAGACCTACCTGATAGAAGAATCCCTTCGAGTCGTGCGTCCACGTGACTCCGGAGAACTTCACAAATCGTATCTCCTCCGTAAGTCGGCCTTCATCGTGGGACGGTCGAGAGCCGTCGACTGATGCAAGGGGGGCCGTGGTAGGGCGGATGTATACAGTAAAAAAGTCACTTCCCTAAGGATCGATCGATCAACATAATTCGTGCACATTAGTCCGCACACGCTGGCGAGTCCGAGACCGTACCGAACGCGACACGCCGTATGCCCACAAATCCCCGGACCGAGAGAAAGCGGTGGCTGATAATGCTGCGGTTCCATCTGATGATAACAGATTCGGCTGCGAGATTATGACTTATTTTAGGGACAGAACCTCCACAAACGGATGGATCAAACAAAAATACACACATCGAAGAATACTTCGCCACCTGGACCGTCCTCTTTGCTGAAGTCCGGGAGTTTCTCGTCCTTAGAGCGATAGATCACTGGATAGGGTTATGAGCGACGTAAAGTGCAGAATTCGTTCTATATGTTGTACCTGCGTGACCCTGCAATCCAGTGTTGTACGACCAGTACCATCGATTGTCATGTTTGAGACTCGGGGCAGAAAACTGGAAGACGATCACACAGCTGGACGAGGCGACGGTTCATCGGGTGAGACAGACCTTGGCATACTTCTCGTTGTTTCTAATCTCATCTTCTAAACTCTTTCGCTCTGGGTTCTGGTCGATATATTCTCGCGTGAAAGCCTCCTGGGCTGTGACCCACTGGTCTGTCTCATCTGTGTTCTGCTCGAGCCATTGATAGGGATCGTGGACCCGGACTTCGCCCTGAGATGCGCTCTTGTACACGTCAACATGGTCTGAGCGACGTGTGGGTGGATAGCGGCTGGGGGCCCACTGAGTGCGGGCTGGCATGGCTTGGACGGAGGCGGTATGGAAAAGTGCACGAGATGAGCCCCTTATATAAAGCGCATTGGCGTTTCGAGCACGTAACAAGGCACAGAGCATGTGCTAATATCTGGGCGTGAGCTGATATCGATTTCCGGGAGCGGACATGGCAAAATCTCGACCTTAGAAATCCCAACTTGGTAGAGCTGGATCAGCGTGACCTATAACTTGGACAGCCTCTCTGCAGAAGAAGCTACGTCTGAGAAAACATGCGGTTGCCCATCGATACTATCGGACTCACTTCTAACAGTCCTCCACTGGCTACCTTCTTGTTTTCCTACAAATCTACCACAGTATTAGCCTCGTGCTTTAAACGAGTCTGAGTTGAGTCACATCGTGTAGACGCGCACCCACCATCTTATCTCGCCGACTTCCTTTTTGGGCGCATGACGCATCGTCCGACGCCGCCAGTTCTGAAATCTTGCTCATGCCACCAACGCAAGCTGCACTCATCCGCTCGTGAATGTTCCAGCAGACTCCCAGCTTCTTCCCGACACCGGCTATTGTATGCTCGTATATCTATGCCTCCATATTTTGCTGATTACGAGTGTCGTTCCAGGACCATGCGTTCGCCGGCTTGGGCGCTGGTGTTGTCGCGGTGCTCTGTATGCACCCTCTCGATCTCCTCAAGGTGAAGTTTCAAGTCGCCACAGATAAACCAAAAGGAGGCATCGGAATGCAGATATGGCACACTCTCAGAGACATCAAAGACCAGCAAGGGTGGAGAGGCTTGTATAGAGGCCTCGCCCCCAATATTGCAGGGAACGCAACCAGTTGGGGTTTCTACTTCCTCTTGTGCGTACACAGTGCTCTCCTACACTAATGTTAATTAGCTTCTATTAGCTATAATATGCTCAAAAACCGCGCAGCGGGAGGTGATCCGAACTACCAGTTGTCCCCGGGTTCTTATCTTTTATGTTCTGCGGAAGCGAGTTCGCATATTCTAAGAATTCTATACTTCGTGTGTTGCTAATGACATGCTTCGATTTAGGTGCTGTCACTGCCATCATGACGAATCCAATATGGGTCGTGAAAGTCCGGATGTTCACGACGCGCGCAGGCAGCCCAGAATCGTACCAGGGTCTTTGGCGTGAGGCTGTCCTTCGATTTCTCGCCACCATTGCGGATATTAATTACCGCTTTCCCAGACGGCCTGTCTTCTATATATCACAAAGAAGGCGCATACGGCCTATATCGCGGAACTTCTTTGGCACTTTTCGGTGTAAGCAATGGAGCAATTCAGTTCATGGCTTACGAAGAAATGAAGCGATGGGGGTTTGAGCGAAAACGGCGCCAGTATACCAAGGCAGGCATCGAATATACGGCAAGAGATGATAAATTGGTATATTCTATGTCAACTTCAGGTTCAGGTTTTAATGTGTGTCAACTAGTCAAATACAGCATATACCATAATGTCTGGTGCAAGTAAATTGACAGCTCTTACCCTGACCTATCCTTATCAAGTTGTACGATCTCGTATCCAAGTGCGTATCTATTTACGCGATATCTCTCTCCACTCATGCGTTTGTTGTGCCTTCGAATAGAACAACGCAACGATCCACCTATACCCTTCAATTCCAGCCTGTATTAAGCGTACCTGGAGGGAAGAGGGCTTCCGCGGTTTCTATCGGGGGTTGGGCACAAATCTCGTGCGTGTCCTCCCAGGAACGTGTGTCACATTTGTGGTCTACGAAAATCTCGCGTGGCTCCTCCGCACGTCGGCATTGCGTCGAGAACAACGTCGACGAGATGATGAGCAGGCAAATCTCAGCTAAAATTTCGAGGTCGGACCCTTCAGTTATCCCACATCGTGTTGCCCGCATAAGATTGTTAATAATCTTTAAAAAACCCGAGACCATGCATTTGATAGAGGTTTGTTACAGTGGCCTTCTCGCACCGCATTGCATAATCTGACGTCTTCGTGACCCCACTCACACATCGAGCAGTTTATATACATGGCGTGCACGACACTGCTCATTCCGACTACGAATTCAAATAGTCCACCCCTAAATGCACTGTACCTCATTGGTTGCCGAAGTTATATTACACGGATCATTAATTCATAGCCTCCACAGTGCAACTGCATCTACCTAATTTACACATATTACTAGTGTCTTGAGACAGTGCAACGAGGCACATTGAACAATCACTGGAATTAGAATGCACAGGTTCTTGATCCACCATTCAGGTCTAATCCATGACTATGTGCCCCCGAGGTGAGACGATCGCGAGGGTATATCTGTCTTGAGTCTACGATTTGTCTTGGACTTTGGAGCCGGTGCTGTGCAACATCGGATAAATTAATATGGATACTGAGCCGGGCGGCTTTCTCACCATTTGTGTTCTCTGTGATGTAAAATCTTCGCAGCACCATAATGGCCTCTTCTCGGAAGTATCCTCCAGTCGCCCTATAGGCTGGGTGCTTCGGATGGGGAAGTCTAATGTCTCAATGAGTTTTCTCTCAGTCAGCTGGGCCAGGAACAACACGGCGGACCCGCTATTGACTCCAAGGACGCTCCCACATCCGCCGAATCGGTCGTTCTCGCAGCCGTAGAATACCTCCTTGATCCCCATTTGCCGGAGGGCAGAGGCGCACATGATACAGGGTTCCACTGTCACGTACAACGTCGTCTCCGCGAGCGGATATGGCGTCACGGCGGGCGTCAGCGTCTTGTCGGCGAGAATCTCGTCGATGGCCTCGAGTTCTGCATGCCGAGTTGCCTGGGCACAGGTACAGGTTCACAATTAGCTCTGAACAAAACGCCTGGCCATTATAGCAGGAAAAACGGTCAAAGCACATTACGAAGTTCATTCGTCCTGTTCCGAGCCTGCGCGACAACTTTTCCGTTCCGCACAAAAATGCAGCCGACAGGCACCTCGCCAGCAGTCAACGCCTCCTCTGCCTATCGTCTGCTTCAGAAAGGGTATGATTCAGGAGATTACAAATGGGCATACCATGCTCATCGCCTTTCGCATCCATTCCAAGTGTTCCGGTGTTTTATCCGCTTCCGAATAGGTCGGGGTATTCGACTGCGATCCTGTCGACATTCCCTAGATGATGACTCGGACCACGTATGCTAGCAGTGTGCATAATTGGAGTCAGAGGAAATTTGGCGAAGCGCGCATTGCTGCAGAGCGCTAAAGAAAGCCCTGCCAAGTTGGGCTGACAACTACATGCATTTGGTATAAGTGTCACCTGTGGTCACGATCATTCAAGCATTCATGCGCTCAAGTACTCATGACTGAAGACAGATGCGATCATGTTCAAGGTCGAACTGAAGTCTGTATCGAGACACTCGGTAGCTTCGAATCCTCTTCCTCTGACAGATATCTCAGCCACCCAAGTCTGTAACACCCGGCGGGGCGTATATAAATTAATCTCGATTGCCGATGCTAAATTGAGCACTTCTTAGCCAGTACTTAAGTATAGGTCGCTCTGAATACCTTTCTCGCCCATCTTATACCATTCTGGATGGCGTCGGATGAGATATGATAGCAGTTACTGCTATCTCGTGAATGGAAACCATTCTTCCCCTCTACACTGTCGATATTCATGCACTGAGTGTCCATGAATATGATTTTCCGAAATGTGTCAATATCTGACATAGGATAAAGGCAGCAAAGACAAGCTAATTTACAATGTGTAGCATGATGAAAGCAAACTGAAGGGGACCATCCGAGATGAATTACAGCCTCGCATCCTTCGGCATCTTCTTCAAAGCCTGTCTCACCCCTAGGTCTCCCATGACGTCTTCCTGGCCGCCAAGGATGGCATCGTAGGGCGATGTGCGGTGGTACTGGGATGATCGGAAATATCAAGATGGATGGTTAGAAGTGGCTCACGAACCCACAACAGACGCTCTTACGTTCTCAATCAATTTACCCATACCACCTGCGGTGATTGACCGCCCTCCAAATAGCTGAGTTGCATCCTCCGCGGTTTCCCGGCCAGCGCGGGTGACAAATCTTTAGAAGATGCATAAGATGACAGACAGGCCCAAATGAGACGTGAGCTCGAGAACAATTACGCACTGTTTCAACAGTCCGATCTGTCCTGCCAATTTGTCAGACTGGTCTTCATATGACATCTACAAAAAGTGAAGAATTCGGAAGTCAAGCTTGAAATACTGTCATGGCGTAATGATCATACATTGTTCATCTGATGTGTTACCGACTCTAGCCAATTCTGGCAAGCCTCTACTCGTGCGATCATGTTGGCCAACTTTGACCGCACTACTGCCTGAGAGCTGAGTGGTTTTCCAAACACCATGCGCTGATTGACCCATCTATGTAAAAGCCGATCAGTATAACGTCCAAGCAGTGTACCAAAGTTGGGGAGTTGTAAAGAACTCACTTTAAGCATTCTTCAACAACCATCCGCTGAGCGCTAAGGCTCGTACAAATAATCATCCATCGTTCATGGTTGAAATTACTAAGAATGACCTGCAAGCCCTGGCCGACTTTACCGAGCGTGTTAGCAACGGGTACACGCGTCTTCTCAAATGTGACGTAAGCCGTTCCCGCGGTGGATGAGTAGGCCGTCTTGATCGCCTTTGTTGAAACATTGTCAGATCGCGGTACAAGGATGACCACATAGCCGTCCTGGAAACGTTACATCATCGTTCAGGATGGAAACTTGTGAACGTGGTAGTCATACCTTGCTTCGGCAGCCGACAGTGAAGTAATCAGCAAATACACCATTGGTAATCCATCTGAATATTGATGAGGAGCAGAAATGAGAGCGAAGGTTCTCGAAGCTCACTTCTTCGATCCAGTAATTACCCACTCGTTTCCCTCCAGTACAGCAGTGGTTTGTAATCCTGCAACGTCGCTACCGGCGAACGCTTCGCTGATAGCTAGGCATATAATTTTCTTGCCATCAAGAACTTCGGGAACAATCTTTGCCTGTAGCTCGGGCGAACCGAAATTGAGAATAGGAGGGAGACCAATGACTTCTCCGGCTAATAAGCCATCCAAGTACGCTCTGGTACCGAACCGGGAGAGCTCAAAGTTGACGATTAGCTAGTCACCATGAGCTTGTGGATATACGATACTCTTTTGATCAGGCTCATACCTCATGAAAGTGGTCGAATTCTTCGGGTGCAACGATACCACCAAGTAAGCTACGTCCCTTAAGGTGCTTTCCCGGACCAATGCGCATAGCCGGGATATTCATTTCGCTCGTGGAAAATCAATATCATTGTACAGCCCATTACCACGCATTATAAATGACATACCACAGTTTCTGCAGTACATCCGGCGACATACGCTTTCCGTTATCTTCACACTCTACAGCGTTCGGGTAAACCACCTCCATTGCGAATTTACGCATTGCTCTTTGAAATCTCTTGTGGCTTTCATTGTAATAAGCGCTGAAAAATCCTTTGGCGAGCCATGATGGCTCCGCGTACGGAACATTAGAGGGTTCGCCCACCGTTTGAGATTTGTACAATGGCTCTTCGCCCGTAATGGTCCCAATCTGTAGGCGGGCATACTGAGGTCGAAGTAGCACTTCGTGTCGGTGCAGACCATAGAACGCCTGGGTGGCATCTTTCCCAGCTTATCGTGATGGCATGTTACTACGGAAGATTTCGTTGGCATAAGAAGAAGACCATACCTACTGAATCCGTCAAGAGAATACCTGTACCTCCCGGATGCAAGTCAGCAAATTTTGAGATGTTGTAAACTTTTGAATCAATAACGATCCACTAGAGTAAAATGGGTCATGAAATGAAATGAGACAATAAGGAGGTAACTTACAACGTCTCCCTCCCTGTTATGCTACAGCCGACATGTCGGATGGGCGACATGAACAAGAATCTATTGGGTGCACGAATATGCTCACCTGCGCTACCTCCTGCAGAGTATAAGTCTTGAGCTGTGCGGCAGACATCCTGCTGATAGGTGAACGATGCTGAGACTAGGAATTCTGTACAGCTATAGTCCTAGCCAAGGGTCCTGAATCGGTTCGGAAAGACGAGACTGCCGGGTGGCGCGGGCAATGATTGCACGTGATTACCCTTTCAGGCAACTGCTGTAGTTCGACTCTTGCGCGCTTCTACTTAGGACCTGCCAGATTGCCTCCGAGCAGCCAAGAATCACAGGTGGCTTTATGCCA